GAGTCACTTAACGTTAGATTCTAAAATACCCTGTTGTTTTTTATGTAAGAGGAAAATAGATAAGGAATAAATTGTGTGGCTAAAAAGGATAAATATTCTGATCAATCCTAACAACACAATTTATTCATTACCCATTTCCCTCTTATATAAAAAACAACACATATTTCAGAATCTAACGTTACATCAGGACTCATTTTGTATATAGCTGAAAATTAAAATGTTACTGTATGATGATCAGTTACAAAGATAACGCAGAGTTCATCATCACATAATCTTTCTTCGTAAATCCGAATCCTCGCGGCTCAAAGTCGCGCCGACTGTACCCGAACGACTCGCGGCGAAATTCTCGTTACCTGTAACACCTCTGTATCTTGACGATGCTGGCGAGAAACATCTCGTCATTGTCCCGAGGAACCAACGACTGTATTTCCTCGACGCTGAGATAAGGGACGCCAGGCGTGACGACCCGGTCGCACGCGTCTGGCAGGAAGTGCACCTGCACCGCCTGGTCGTGAACGACCTCGGTAATCGCGTCCGCGACCGCGACGGTCTGTGTGACCCTATCGCTCCTCGTCGCACTGCGACCGTGTGTCTGCGTGCAGGCATTGTGATAGATCAGGCCGGTGACGGTGTTCCTCCATCCGCCGAGGAACGGTTTTGTCGCCCTTGGACAATGATTCTGTGCCCCCGCGACGACCGCCATGACGCACCGTCGGCTACCCCATGGGATCTAGCCGCCTGCGCTTACAAGGAAAAGGTTTCAGTCGGGCTTCGGGAAGACTGGTAAACGTAACGATAATATCCGCGCCGCGGTAACGAATAGACTGCGCGCCGCACCGGGCGAAAATGCGAAATGGGAAAATATCAGGCCGTCATACACGCACACACATATACTCACGTAGTGAGTTCCAAATGTTTCACTTGAAATATTTGAGTTTCTGAGAATATTGTCGTACAGCGTGTTCTCCGATAGTCGATTGCAACATATCGCATTAAAGAAAGATAGTTCCTGAAGAAACTTTGGATTCTCACGGTCCTGCGACTGCGTTTCTCGATTTTTCAGTTAGAACGAGCTCGATGTAGCGATGTAGGTCCCTCGGTGTGAATCGCGATGAAATATGTATAATCGGAAAACTCGGCTATGTAATGTCAAGCAACATCTTGATAATTTTCCCATCGCAGACGTGATATTGCATGCACTAAGAAAGAATATTAGGAAATTTACTTGAAATTAAAATTTAAAGAAATTACTATAAAATTGATTTCTGTGAAACATAGTCCATTTCTGTGAAATAGATTGTATATCTCACAAACAAATATATTGATCAAATCAATTAATAAAACTATTCCTCAGTGTAAACTCTTTCCTCAGTGTAAGAACAACACATAGCTCGTAAATTAAGATAAAAGTACCAATTCCTGGACACGTACTTAATTCTGAACATTCTTATTATTTTGGTCTTTTTAATACGAATATTTAAACTTTCAGCATAGAATATATTTACATATTCAATGCTTGTACATTTATTTTATGTTGAAAGTTAAATATTTGTATCTAAAAGCCAAAACAAAACAAGTGTCCAGAATTAGGTACATGTCTGGTCAATGGACTAATTTTTATTTTACGTACTCGACAAGTTCCGATTAATAGATCGGAAATGTGAATACTTTGTACCAATATGAATGATTCGACTGTACAAAGCCGCGAGAGGCAGCTGCTTCGTGATTTTCTCACACTTTTGCTTTGAAATTTCCATGAATTGGAGCGAAATGAAATCACGAGTTAATTTTTCATATGGAAAAAAAATTATCCGAGGACCGTGACGTTCTTTGTGGCACTGTAAATTACTTTCCTATTTTTCTTGGCGCATTCACGCGAGAATGGGGCGACATTTCCAAGATATAAAATAATTTGTGCACCGAGAATATTGTACAGCGTGCACAGTCCACCCGTTACGCTACCAAACTCGGTGAGTTACTAGTGGCAGTTTGTTTTTATGACCGTTACGGCAGATTACTTTTGGTTTATTATGCCCGCGCAACTTGCATCCGCCTCGGGAAGCAAATGGAAAAGCGTGGAAATTTCCAAGAATTAGAGAAACAGCTCCAATCATTTTCTCAATACTGAACCTTGTTCTCGATTTGCTCCATTGGCGAAAATTACGGGCGAATAAAACGCAGGCCACAGAATTTGTCCCGATCGCGCGCGTATTTTCCGGCTCAGTGGTGCCGCTTTCTTAGGGGTGGGAAAAGATAATTAACCCCCTTGCGCTCGCCCACCGGTGACATGTGCCTTTAGAGGAAAAAAAGGAACCACCTCTCGAGCCCTCTCCGCAACGACCGATTCAATTGTATTGCCCACGGAGGGACGCGCGCGAGGTGAAAACGGCTATTTCGCGATGCTCTATTTTTCTCCGCGTTGCTTGTAACTGCCCCGCGATCCTTTATCTTCAGCATTGCCACCGTGACGCAGTGGTCCCCATCCCGCGGGATTTAAGCGCCTACATCCATAGACGAGGAAAAAACTCCGCCGGTCGCAGGTTGAGGAAGCGGAAGGATAACTGCCGCGGCGACCTGCCGGGATAACGGTAATACCGGCAGTAAAGGAAATTACTATTCTCTCGGTTTAAAGGATCCGACAGCGAGCTGCGGTGGAAACTGCGCCCCGGCTAACGCTTTGCACTTTTGCGCCAACTCACTGGCGTCGCCGGAGATATTGGTATGCACTCGCGCCTCGACGGCTCCAGTCGAGCTAACTGGATCGGAGATCTTCGCATTCCCGACGTACGTTTCGACGACTTAAATCGACCCGAATCTCTTCAGGAATAAATTTATTCGAGTTAACAGAAGATGATTTAAGTTTTGAGTGACGCTAATATGATATCTGTCAACCGTGTGACGAGATTTTTCGTTTTCTTGCGGAATTTTGTGCTGAAAGTTCACTCACTGTAATGTTCGCTCAATGTAATTGACAATTTTTGGCTTAAAAACCAGAAAATCGAACGTATCTAAATCTATACACATGTCCCTGAAAAATTTGAGATAATATATTATTAATTCCTGGACATGAGAGAGAGAGAGAGAGAGAGAGAGAGAGAGAGAGAGAGAGAGAGAGAGAGAGAGCACTGTAAGAGTGCTATGTAAATTCTAATCGTAAAGAGAGCTTTTTCACACAATTAACATGTAAATGAAAGACCAGACTATATCTGACGAGTCAGTGAATTACATATTAGTTTCTGTAATAAGTACTTAATACACGAAAAAGTTCTCTATTGAGCAAATTTAACGACATCTGAACATCTGTTTTACATAAAGAATTTCTAGTAGAATCAGCAAATTAAACTTTAATTTTGAAACGTTTCTGTTTTTATAGTTCATCTTCGCACATACTGCTTTGTGTAAAACGAAGTTATCCAATTTAAATGTAGTAGTCATTCTTACGAATAAAAGAAAACTACGTCGGTTTGATATTTTTCAGGATATTTCTCGTCTAACGACGAGATAGGAGATTCTTCTACTTTTTAATTTTTGCCGTCGCACGTCTTTTCTTTGTCGAAACGTTCATCTAGATTTACAATGTCGTAGTCATCGTTTGTGTCCTCATGTATAATTTGATATCAAACAGAATCAACTACAGCTACTACAAGTGCTGCGCGAAGTACTTCTTACACGACTCACCTTTAACAAGAGAATCGTCTCTGACTCAACTCGATTCTGACTTGATCTCGCACCGTTTGGCTAAGGGCGCCATGGACATCTGTAGCTTTGAGAACAAGTTAAAATAACAGTGAGAGAAAAGGAATAGTGTTAGTGGATAGTGCTAAAAATTTACTTAACGCAAAAACCAATTAAAAAGAGATAAAATATGAAAAGTCACCGATTAGCATTATCCACTAACACAATTCCTCTTCTCTCACTGTCATTTTAACCTCTTTTCAAAGCTACGAATGTCTATAGCGCCCTCAGCCTCACCTTCCACTAAAGGTTCTTTAGATACGATTTCACGTCTCTCTTTAGCAAGGATTTTTAATTATATACCAAAGATTTTTATTTATAGCTTATAATGTTACACATATAGCTTTATATATAGCTTATAATGTTACACATTATGTGTACGAAGACACGATCCTTCGCGAGACTGCGTAAGTAAGACAGAACGACTTGTGCTTTACGGCCGCGAAGCGAAAGCGTTTATCGGAATCCCGCGTGTCACGACCTCGCTTTTTCACTTCGCGTGTTAACCGGCAAATCCATTGGCTTCGCGCTGACCTATTATTCCACAAACACACGGATTTATAGATCCTCAGCCTGGCGGAGCTCCGGAGCTCTCCGGACGTTTAGATTTATGGGTTGCTTATTTCGCGGATTCTTCACATTGTGCGGTATCTCGGATTTGTAGATCTCGGATCCTCGGGAGCCTCTTCTCCCGGTTCCACTACTCGGGTTAACGAATTTATCTCTCTCTTTCTCTCTGTTCCTCACGGACTCATGTAAACAAATCTCACGTCTTCAGTAGCACATGTCGAGAATTTGCGGCGATGAAAATGCGAATTTTTCACGAGACATCGTCGCGTGCAATGGCGAACGTGAAGTTTCTTTTTCGGCGGTAAAACGCCACGACACGTGAGAGTTTTCAAGCTGCACAGTCGCGTCTAATCTGGATCCCTTTCGCCGTTTTCTCCGCAACGAAACAAGGAAACACTCTTAGGAACCTCGACGAGACGGCCGGCTATTCAGCGAGGGAAGTGGGCTCGAAAGAAGTAACTCTCATCGAACAATGCCCTCGGCAAACAGCGCGGCGGCGACACTTCGTGCGGACAATAATTATAAAAGATGTTAATTCCGGGGGCGAGCGAAGGGATGTGAAAAGGGACGAAGAGAAACGAGAGGGAGCTCGGGATCGCGCGAAACAACGCAGACGTGAGACCAACTCCGCCGGGAAGTGCCACCCCTGGCGATGCGTCGTCGCGACACGACACACTTTTCCGTGTATTATGAATTGCACGCGAGAAAATTCCGGGATGAGGCGAAGAGCGAGGTGTTGCTAAGAGACAGCACGCCGCGCGACGAAACTTTTGGCGACAAGGAAACCGAGAGCAAGGAAGAAGGAGGAACGGAAGGAAGGAAAGAAGGGCACGTTATATTTATGCAAAGGGAAGAGTATCGGAGGAGTTGTGGGAGGAGGAGGAGGGGAGTGGTTTTAAGTTAGATATAAACGGTACGAAAGTTCGTTCCCGACACCCTTCTTCGCCTTGTCGCCGGAAGTTAGCGAGCGCTGTCGCGCGAACGGTATAATTCGCCGGTAAACTCCGCGACAAATATGGCTAAGACGACGAGATTAATGATCGCGACAAGCGAACGAGTCGGACGATCGTCAGGCGAAAGATACAAATTACTCGGAAGTGGCGCGCCTGTAGGAAATGGAATTCAGGTCAATTAGACGCCCATTATGATATCTTTTTGCATTTGTGCCGGGCGATTTTAGCAACGAGAGCTCGCTACTTGTGGATGGGTTATTTTCTCGCCCAGCACAGCCTTCTTCGGACTGGATATAAAAGTGCTCGAGTCACTTCGCTTAATTGTATTACGTACTCCCCAAAGTACAATCCGGTATATTCTTCACTGAAATCCTATACTTATGAATGGTTCGTTCAGCTATAAATATAGCTCTGCAATCAGTAAAATCTCGCTGAAAAAATCGGCTGATAGTGGCGTTATTGATGTTTCCGTTATTGATGCAGTTTGCAAATGCAAACAGTACTATCGCACGCAAATTGCACGGATTGATCGCTACGAACGCAGGAAGTTGAATTTCGTACGGCAATGAATTTGTGTATCACCGAGTTCGCGGTGAGAGAGAGAGAGAGAGAGAGAGAGAGAGAGAGAGAGAGAGAGAGAGAGAGAGAGAGAAATCTTACTTCCGCTGGTTGAAATCAAAGAGATACGCGATAGAGCAATGCAGAGGAAGTGTTTTTATCAAAAATCAACGAATACTCATTGATTATCGGTGAAATACTTCTTTCACTAATTTAGTCGGAAATTCACCGATTCAAGCTTAAGAGTCTAATTAATTAATACTGCTTAATTACAATTACACAATTTTATACTTAATTTTAATTAGATACAATATATATATAATATAAATTAATACTCTTTAATTTACGACTTAATTCTATCCAGCAAATATATATAGATTTCCTGAATCAACTCATCTGTTTCTTTCTCCGTGTAATTCTGCGACTTTCGTCCGCGAAGCATGTCCGGAAAATATCTGGACGTACAATGCGCCGAGAGCAGCGGGCAGAGAAAAAGTCCGTGGAAGTACACGAGGAAAAGTCCCGCTGGAAAGCCGAATCCGCGAAGCACAAGATGCGCACGCCTTCCAGCGTGACCCGGTAATCGATGGCACGGAAAATAGTCTCGTGTCACGAAAGTTAATGCTTCCTCGACAATCCGGCCCCGAACGCAGCTTGCCTCTCTGTCGAAACCGTTTAAAAAAAGAAAAAAAAAAGAAAAAGAAAGTAATAATAATTGTATCTAACGTTTTTCACGCGCGCGTCAATATGATGGCACAACTTCGCTGTCGCAACGGCGAGATGAACGAACAAACAAACGGCGTCGATCGATCGCGCAGCTCGCGAACGATTTAACCGACGACCCCGATGCAAACTAGATTTTATCGAAACAGCGCGCAACTACAAAGGAAATGACGCAAAAACAACAAATGCGAGGAAAGAAAACGCATTTGCGTTTTTTCTTTCTCTTTTTTTTTTCTTTTTTTAACCCACACACACGCATGTATGCACGTATAGTGCATGCGAACGTCCTTAATTGGACGCCCGAGAAGTACGAGAACGTCAATGATGATTGGAGAGCCGAGTATTACGAGCGATCGCGCTGTGTTCGTCGAATTTAATTGCGCCGCGCGGCGCAATTATTCGGTGCATAAATATTGATGCGCCATATTTTCGTCGATGCAATCGCGGCGCTCATTATAACGGAAGACGCTCGCCGTCGAACTACTCGACGGTTCCTTTATTTGTTCATTTATTTTCAATCAGAACTAACTCGAAAAAATAACGGCGCTAACTGGGTGGAAGTTCGCGGGATGAACATTTTGTCGAGGCTTACCGTAAGCGGCTCGTGACGTCTCGTCGCTGTTCTACTGTCGCGAACGCGCTTCATAATTTTCATGGAAAAGTGCTCTCATAACGGGCCTTTTTCCCTCTCTCTTTCTCTCTTTTTCTGTGTAACTTTGGAGACGCCTCTCGCAACAGCTCCGTGATTTCAACGTGACATTGACGATGCGTTAACGGTCGCCTGACGCGACAAAACGGAGAAACACTTTGGTCACGACTGCATTTTACGGAAAGTTGAGCGGTTCGGTCGCGGTTCGAGCCACGTCAACATGCAAAGCGGCCGGCAAATCGTCAATCAAATCTCGACACTCGCGATCCGACGAGAGACAACGAGTCGAACGTCGAGGTGCAGCTTTCAATGCAAAAACCCGGCTGCTTGAATGTGGACGAGACTCTCGCAGCGGCATCTGAAAGCTCAAGGCTTTAAGTCCAACGTTGCCAGTGGCAACGTGCTTGGTCGATCGGTCGAAAGCCCCTTACTTGTCCATTATTTTTCGATTTTGTCCTCGCTGGCTCAAAAGCCGTCCTGCGTACGTACGACGTATATGAATTCAGTACCGCAGCGGGTATTATGCGCCTCGGGGTCCGAAAATTTTCCACGGCACTTGTGCATCTCCAGCCCTCTCGTCCCTCCATCCGATCCGCATGTAGGGCAATCGGAGTCAAACACGCGCCTTGAACCTCAAAAGTGCACAATGCGTTATACACTCGATGTGCTCTCTCGATACGTAAATGCCCGGGCCATTCATACGCTTTTCTCATGTTCTGCATCGCGATAAAAAGAAACGTGTACAGAGTGTCCGACAATTATTGACACGTTGATTTATTATTGATCCGTTGCGTACAGGTATACTGAGAGAGAAATTACCTTAAAATCAACAACTATTTCTTTGATGAGTGCCATTAGCATATTTATTCAAATCTAAATTCTCTTTAAACCAAATATTGTTTTCTTAAATCAGGTAAACAATATTTGATTTAAGTAAAGAGAATTTAGATTTAAGTAAATATGTTAATGGCATTCATCAAAGAAATATTTATTGATTTTATTTTTATTTGATTAATTTTTTCCTCAATGTAGGGAACTCATCAAAGTGAACGTGAAATTTCTCCGCCATTTCGCAAATAACCACGTAAAATTTTGAGTTATTGAACTTGTTGCCGCAGCAAGTCGAATCGACCCGTGACAAGTAAATTTAAATACACGGACTTTGGATTCTCGAGACTTTTGTTTCAGTTTCCTCTTCCTTCTTGGTGTTTTCCTTTATTTTGCCTTTTTTATTTTTCTCTCCAGCTTAACGAATCGCTTCGAACGTAAATCAGTTCGGATTATCCGCCCTTCTCGCGACCAATTAAGAACAACACGGCCGATATTTGCAATGCAAGTATAAGCCAGATCGCGTTACTGCAACAGAGCGATACGAACAGTGGGGAATACTGACTCCGTGAAACGGCCAACAATTTATATCCCGTTACGCAATAGCCTTCGTAGCAAAAACCGCCTGCTGCCATCGTCGTCGGTATATCTACGTGTTCTTTACGTAAAATGTTTTCACTATCAGCGCCCGCATCCGCGCAATATCGTCCGCAGCACTTCGAAGCAACGTCGCGCGCACACCGGCCATAAAACCCTCTCCGCTATTTCTCCGGGGACAGAAACAATACGTATTTGGCGATCCCGAAAAATTCACTTTTCTGTAGCAAAAATGTATACTCGTGCGCCCTCGTAACTCCAAGGTGTGTGTATCGCTTAATCGAGCGTAACGCAGCGGAAATTTATTTATCTCACAATTACAAGATAAAATAGATGGAACACTCCCAATTATGAGTCGAGTCCTAATTTCAGGTCAAACTCGCTTTATTAGTGTATTAAAAAAGTACACATTATAATGAAAAAAATTGTGTTATATTTCTCGGTTCTTTTATATAATTATGTTCTAAAGTTATACTCACAGATATTCTTGATATTTAAGAAAAACTCTAACGTTTCAGTTGGCTTCACCGACTCTGTAGATTAATGAAATTATCAGTAGGTTATGTGTATATCTCTATTCTATATAGACTAAAGCAGTGTGAGTGCGAACATTATTAATATAAAATTGAATATCGTATATATAACTCGTTATACGGGAGTACAATATTTGCTGATCCATAATTGAGTTTCACACGTGCGCGTAAATATTTCTAATAATTTTTTCATAATTTAGAACAAACTAATTTAAAGTCTAATCAATTTGTTTTAAAATTACGATGTTAATTGCTTAGATTGATATTAATAGTTCGTTTCAATGTTCGATCGATTTTATATAAACGACTGAAATTCGCTTTAATCTTATAAATGACACAATTAAGGACCGTTAGCTTAATAGTTATTTTTTTTCAACGATACAGAGTCGACTGATTAAATATTGTTTTTCTCGACAAGTTTCGTAATACCTCCCGTGTCCAATAAGAGAATCCGTTTTTTTAATAATTCTCGGAAAATGCGTTTTCTATTGGATACACGAAATATGTTGCAAAACTCATCGAAAAAAAATATTTTGCTGCATTTAGTCAGTCGTCTACATACAATACTTTTCCTCACTTTGATCCGAAATTCTTCCTTAATTGGGGTCAGTCGTCATCTGCATCGGTTCGCCATTGTTTACCGCCTGTTGTCGATAACGGGAGACCATCGGGCCGTCCAATTTCCCGCATAATTAAAACGCATGATCCAATTTGATCGCATAATGCACTCGAAACTAGTTTCAGCGAGGTGGTCGGCGCAATATCAGACTAATACCGCTGCATCTCATTTGCAAGATGTACGATTTTTGTGCCTACGTACGTGTTCACATACGATCGCGTACGAAAAGGTGCTCGCAATATTTCAAATGAGTTTGTGAATTTACTCGTCTTCTGTAAGGATCATTCTCCCATTGGACGAGACGGAAAATCCACAAATTCACCCCAAAACGAACCTTTTCGTCTGCAGCCGCACTACCTCATATGTAACATTCCAAGCATTTTACCAAAGTAGGAACGCTAGAAAAGACTCTCTTACATGACAACTCGAATTTTTCACGGTAAAATCTCGTTGTTTGAGACAAGTAATAACGCAAACACCGGTCTTTTTCAAACGTATGCGGTAAATCTGGCTTTTGGGAATTACAGAGTACTTCGAAAAAGAAAGATAGATCGTGTCTGAAAAAGACCGAAGAATAATTCGACACCTGCGTCATCACTTTTTCACAAACGACGAGATCCTGCCGTGAATAATTCATGTAATTTGACAGTCGCACCAAACAACCGTGCGATAAGCTCTTACAGGTCGTATTCCCTATACTTGAGTTGTGTAAAAGACCTCTGGGGTTTTAAATATGAATTTAGTCAGCCCCTACCGGCTTTAGAATGGGTTTAAAACCCAGAGAGAGCCACCGCGATGTTTCGCGAATTTCATAGGAAATTTTGGATATACCGCTGTCACAGTATTCTCAGGACGCAAAGGGTTAATTCGCTAATTCCGTCGTGACTTACGAGAGATATTGGGGTTCCGGCTGCCTCCAAGTTGACCGCAATACGCTTGCAAAACCACATGAAATTTTTCAACGGCTTTCGTACGGTTCAGTTTATCTCGGTCTTTCCCACCTCCCTCCTCCACTACCGCGCCATACACAGTACGTGTACAGCACATTTCACTCGGACAATATTTGTACGAACGAAATACAGCGAAACTCGATTGCAACGCGAAAGAATAAAATTTGTGTGTAACGAAAGTTTATTGGATCTCTCCGAGCGACCAATGGCCTCGCCGATATATAATTCGTAATAATAACGACTGTTCGATAACGTCGAAGTCAAATTGAGCGGAAAGTTCATCACGGAGATATTTGATCGGGATTCATATTCGAAACGCGATGAAATCGCTTGTCATAGCTCGTAATTTCGGGACGTGTCGTAACTCTCCACAGTCAAAGGCAGTCTGTACTACTTGTATTCTTGTCACCTTGAATCGCAGGGAAGCGACCGGACTCCCGGAAGTCTCTCTCGAAACTGATTAATTGTCTAAAAACATCAATAGAGAAATATTTCAAACACCGTCACATTTCCCGAGAAATCGAAATTTTAACTCTACTTTTGACCAGAACGTTCTCTGCATTGAGGGAAAAATATATGATACTTGGAACTATAATGGCATAGTAAAAAAATTATAGTTATGAATATTATTTTTATAGTAAATTTCAGCACAATGTTTGTAATATTTACAATATAAGCATAGTATAACTGACCCATATAAAACTTTTACCAAGAATTATAATCATTTGAAATAAAAAATAAAATAAGTTTGCAAATATTGAATGGTAAGAGAAATTAACTATTTTATATAGTCAATATAATTGAAATATTTGGAAAATATAGGTACATGTAACTATATCCCCAAAGCGTACTTTACTATATACATAGAGTAATAAGATGGTGACTATAAATCTGTTTTAATTCTGCTATATCTTTATGTTTAGATGAATATATGTTTGAAATATATGTTTGAGGCCAAAACGAACTATAAAATATAGTGAGATTATAGTTATTCCAACTATTTTTTTCTCTCAGTGTGTATATTCTGAAGAATCAGTGTGTATATTTAATTGACAAGAAAAATAAAATCCTACTTAGCGCCTTGAAGTAGCAGAGAACACACTAAATGCCACTTATAAGTTCCAAAGAGGACTCTCGGCGAAGTTAGTAGGTTAAATAGAAACAAAGAGGTTGATACAGGCTTCAGAGTATCGCCCTCGGGGAGGTCCTGTCCTCCCTGGGGGCGTGCATTTCCTCTGCCTCAAAAAAAAAAAGGCTTCAGAGTATCAAAGTAAACGGGTAGAAAGTTAAACGGGATATTGAGGAAATAACATTCGCCTGTAATAACGGAAGTCGTTTGGGGAAAATTAGTAATTAGAGAGCATTATTATTATTCGCGTACCTGAAGTGACTCCTCGCGATCTGATGCGCCAAACCGATCTGATGGATCAGGTGTCTCGAGTACACCTTTGCGGGATCCTTAATGCGAGAATGCACGTCGGCTTCGTCCTCCGTCAAAAGGATACAATTCCAAGGTGCCCATTCATCGTCCATCCGGTACCTAACTAGTCTCAGAAGAAAGATATCCGTGGCTTTGCTAACCGCTGATTGACTGTGCCAAATGTTATTAACCAAATGATAAATATCCTGCCTTTGCATCATAAACGCCAGCGCGGAATTGCTGCCGCGACGTATCTCATCAGCCCGCACACAATCCAATATGAACATGTAAGGATCGTAGTCCACGTGCGCGATGTTGCGACGACTTAAAGAATCGCAGCCTTGGAACAAGATACCCAACTAATTGTATTATACTGATTGATACAAATTGAGTCGGATAATTGAAACAAAAAATTGAGCAGATCGGTCGACCAAGATTTACGAGATTTAATTACATAATCGAAAGAACCGCGACGCGTTCAAGGAAGATGTATCAATTGACTTCTTGAGGATTAATGGAAAATGATATAAAACTCCATTAGACCTGCATACTTGTACATCCCGATTATACATACGGAATGATTTTGCATACGGAATGATTATGCATACGTTAAAGGAATACAGAATACGGTATCTACATCGCTGTCGCTCACTCTTGCAGACCGATAGCCTCCTCGTTCTACTGTGCGGTAAGAATCTGCGGTTGGGAAGTAGTTTCAAGCAACTTCGGCAGAATTTTGCTTTTGTTTCTGAAGGTTCCCGCAATTCATCGTCTTTAGAATTCTCGCCGACAGCTTCGCAGCCGCAGCTACCGTGCATGCTCGTAAAATTCAAGTAAGTATCTGCGATAGAGGGTACATTTATTACATCGCCACTGAAGGAAGTATAGCCGTGGACGTGATGGAACATTAAGCATATATTTCAAAAGCTACGAGATCCAGGAAACTTTAAATAACTCGGAAGTTCTAATTGTGAATTACAATCTCGAGAAGCATTGCATACGAAATCTCGGCAGGAATCTTTATATAAAATAAAATGCATAAATTAATCATGTCTTCCCTTAACATTTCTTAAATTATATTGGACACAGAAAATCATTCATAAGTATTTTACTTATTGTGGGTAGAGGATTATGAATGTAATTGTTGCAAAAGAAGTTTCAGTTGTAGCGCCAGTTTTCTTCTCTACTTTCGTATTTTTCGTCATTTCATTATCGAACCACGAACAATAACGTTATCTTAAGACATTGATGTATCGTCTCGTATCTTACGCGTTATCCTTTCGTTTAGACAACTTCGTGACAAGCACGTAATTCGTCGAGTCAGCAAAGCGATCTCCTGGTCCAACAGAGACAACAGATCGAAAGCTTCCGTACAATCGTGCGCTTCGATCGACTTCCTCAACATTATCAGTAACACCATTCGCTGATCCGGTTTAACGTCGCGGTCGCTCAATGCGTCATAGAGACCTTTGAATTCCTGAGCCTTTTGAATTTTCACGGTAACCATCTCCAGCGGTATACCCTTGTAACCGGTCCAACGTATCGGCTTGCAGTTGAGCGTGAGGAATCTGAGAACCCTCCGTCTTCTGCACAAACTTCTAATCGCTTGTTTATGCTTATCGATGTGGTTTAACATCTCCACCGTCTTCTCCAAGATCCTGCAGTTCTCAGCACGCTGCGCGGCCTTGAACAATCGCGACTTTATGTCCTGGAAACGGTCGGACCTCCATCTCTCGATCAAGTTGTAGAGCATGTCGAAATCAGCCCTCGATCGCGGTTGTATTTGCCGAAGAATGTTCCGTTGATGTCGCATTCTGTAAGCAGAGATGGTATACGCAAAGTGCGATTTTACGGCGACACGTTCGCGGAACATCTCGAGCGAAATCGCCCGATTATCCTCAACAGTTGCGCATAGAACGTATTATGGGAAAAGGAGCTTTTATGTACAGAAAGATTGGTCCTGTGCCGACTCCGAAAGAGCGCGGGGAGAACCCTTTGTAAAATATATTTTTCCAACCCCAGCACTTTTTCAAGATATCCGATACGGAAGGGTATTCCCGAATCGTATTCTGAATTCCCTTAGCGCGGGGTAAATGCTCCTTGACAAGAATATCAGGGTGTCATCTTGTGAACGACCAGATATCTAAAGTTTTCGCGAGCGAGCTGCAGAATTACAGAAACGCATGGCGAATACTTATCTCTCGTTTCATTTCTGCTAGATCTTGATGAAATTTTAATTTCATGCATAACCGCAAAGGATTCAGAAATAAATCAATTTTTCGTGAAAAAGCCAAAAATAAGAAACAATTTCTAATCATACAATTTTTTTATAAATACTGTTATACTATGATTTTTTTTATTTTAAAATATTTTAAGAAAAGCTCCACAAATCAGCTTCGAGCTTCTGTTAGTTTCAGCAGACAATCAGAGCTTGCTAGCTTTAGAAAAGACAGAAACAGGAAAAATAGCTCGAATCGACTGAATTACTTGTTTACGATAGCTTTCTCTTCCTCGCGTTTTTCACATTTCTCGAGCATCTCGCGATAAATTCGCGCGCATTCCTTTATGTACTTCCTCAGCCTGTACGCCCGGTAATTCCTTTGAATTATACGCGCATGTCCATCCAAATTGAGCCGCAGTTGTATATCGTCATAGTTCTCATACGACTTCACGGTCATGTATTTATCCGTCTGATTAGGTATGTAATAGTCGTCTCTAAATTGACACAGTGAAATTTTCAGTCACGTGTGATACATTTCTCTAGCAAATATAATATTAAGACAATTTCCGAAATTTTTTTAAAAATTGTTGTACCCCTGTATTTCGATACATAATTATTGAATGCACCATGTTTCCCGTTAGTAACGAATAAAATCCACGGATAGAGTATTATTTGCTTACGACGTCAAGTGTCGCAAATTTCCTTGTAAAAATATCATACCGCCACATTTGCGTCGCGCGGTGACATAATGTTTGTGTTGTTCCATCCTTCGTTACCATACACTGAACCATCTGGCTACATGTACTTTTCAACGACTGTTTGCGCAGAGATTCAGTCTGGGAAGCTGCATTTAAATATTTTACTCCAGTAACCTTATGTCTCCATCCTCCTAAATAAGGCTTGAAAATCCTTTGTTTTTCCATTTCAAACAATAAGATCGTTTAAAAAATGCTAGTTTCTCGAAATAACGTTTTACTCTAGATAAAAATATTTCTGTTCTCGTATCAATAAGCATGACAGGAAATGGAAGTTGAATTATGACATGTATTTTCATTGTTTTTATATTTGTAGGGAATGGAACATCTTCAGGATAGTCTAAACGAATTGGAAACAAAAAAATGCAAGGATTAAATTCAGTGTTGCTATAAAGTCAGTCAAGACTAAAGTGTTATGTGAGAAAAATGTATTCATGCTTGAAACTTCGTTATCTTCTATCTTGCATAATTTATTTACAGCTCACATCAACTTGTAACTCTTAAGAATAACACATTCATTCGTAATATTCATCTCAGAATATCTCTTTAGAGATATGGTATGCGGTAACTTATATACAAGTACCATTTCCTTCCAACGTACAAGTTTACAGGTAGAACAAATGCGACAAATGCATTAATCGACCTTAAGATTTACAGTTGTGCCCGAACGGTGGAAGGAAATGTATGAAATAAGGAGATCATTTAGACTCGCGTGAAACGAAAAGAAAAAGTTGAATAACAAATAACATTTCCGCAAAGATGAAATTAAAATAAATAATATGTTTATATTATATATATTGTGGGAGATACACAAGAGAGTGGGAGAGTAATTTAAGTTATTTTAATCAATGGAAAATGTCGATGACAAGAGAAATCGAAGACTGGTGGTTCTTTGGAATCCTTCTTCTTCTGGAATCCATCAGCTAATAGTTTCAGAACCACAAAATTCGTCTTTGCTACTTTCAATAAGTTGTTAATCTGCAAGAGAGATAAATTGGATCTTAACACTCAGGAAAAATAACGCGGAATAATCCAAATTAAGAAACTCAAGAGACGCGGTACTACACGGAAAACGCTGCTGCGAATTCTTTACGGAAAACCTTATGAGTTTGTTCCATCGACTTACTTCATTTTCAATTAAGCTATTCGCCGGATACAATAGTAATGCACGTTCTAACATATTTCTAGCTTGATGGAAATGTCGACAACCGGCGACATATTGCATTTCGCTGGTGACTTTCTCCTAAAAAATAAAACTTACGGATTTACAAACTATTCATTGAATGGACATGAAATCACTTAAGAATTCAACTTACGTTTCTTTTATGCATTTGAGCATTCGTCATGTCTAAAAATTCTTGGTAATGAACAGGCGGTGGTGTTAACAAAGAGGAGAACGGTAATAATCTGTGCTCATATCTCACTCTCTCAGAATCAAACTGCATTTCGGGAAGCGGAATTTTTCCATCCATACGGAAACCGACTAAGGCCTAAAAATTCCACAAGATTATTTACATATATAAATTATGTTGGTGTATAAGATTTATTGATGATGTAAATCTTTTTTATTAATTTTTAACTCGCAAAAAGTTACTGATTTGAATATTAAGTAAGAAAGAAATGGAAAGACTTTATTAGATATATGAAAAATACCGAACCAATGTTATTTATAAAAATAATCAATATCTCGAGGTCGAATAATTCCGTTTTCAAATATAATTAACAAGTTCGATAAACTCGATGCACCAACTTAATATCAAGATATAATATTTTCGACTAATGCATATGCGGAAAGTATATTTTAAATAATTTATTATTTATTTACCTTATAATATCCGCCACATATATTTTGCATTGCTTGATACATCAATATTTCCAGGTTATATGGTCTCGGTGTCGATTTTTTCTTCTTGTTTTTAGAGCTCTTCTTGCCGCCTCTACCCTTATGCGTATCATTGTGGACATCCTGCTCCATTAAGAACGTATCCGCTCGCGTAATTGCGGATACCAGCCAGCCGTAAAGAAATTCATATAGATACCAAAAGATGTAATGGTATTCGTGTACCGAATATAACTCTAGCTCAAAACCGCTCAAGAGATACATAACCATCACGCGTAACGTGTGGTACAAGATCCAAGTGCCGAAACAAGCCAAGTGAGGCCTTGGCGTGTCACTTTTCATAGATAAAGCGTGCAAATAGCTATCGACTCTCTCTGCCTATAAAGTACATATCATATATTTGATAAGAAGGAAAGATAACAAATATCATCACGAGAAAAAAATGAAAACGCATAAAAAGACTGAAAGAATAATACGACAGAAACTAGATTCTTACTTCATCTTGTAGCGTCGCGAAGTCTTCCAACAAATGTGCCAACTTGTCTCTTTGTCTTGCCCTGTTGTGCCCACTGAGTTGCAACAAGCTCCCGAACAGACTGACGCAATGTAACAGAAAATTGTCGACGTACTCCTTAGCCTGGTGATTTTGCAGCAGCGTGCTCTTTGGCATTAGCACGGGCGGCGCGATGAAGTTTCGCGCCGCGTCTCTCAACACGTCGGCGAAATTGTGCATGCCGAATACACGATTGGTGGTCGGCAAGTAGACGATTTGCAGCATGGACCTAGATAATATGCACGGACTCTGACGCGAGAATTCTAAGAAAAAGTCCTAAAAGGAAATAGATTTACTTCGCATGTGAATATTGCATAGATATCAGGAAAAACGCTCGATTCTCGCGCTTACCAAGGCCGCATGAAATCCAACATGATTCGTGATTTTGATGACTATTTTGAATCGGTTTATCAGCTCAATTAAATATTCCAAAACGTCTATTCGCGGTTTGATTTTAGTGTAACGGGGAAACGTCGGTGGCAACAGTCTCTGATTCACCATCGGATCGAAGCCCATGATATTTGGATGATTAGCTGTAATTGGAAACGACAAATAACAATTTTTACTCGTGCAAATTCTCACGTTTTAAAATACAGAATATATTAATATTTATTCATAAAACATTTCCCAAAAGTTATTATATACTTACAAATTTCATCGGCCTTCTCTCCACGTGTCACTGTCAAAATCATAATATGTAGCATATCGGAACAATTTGACAATAATCTTTGACAATCACTTAAACTCTGTTGCAACTGCTGCTTTCGTCCCATCAATGTCAATATTTGGTAAAACATCTTAGTAAATCGAATCCTTGCGTAAAGAGCGATTCCATCATTATACTGCAAGTAAATATTGGCAATATTTAACTAGTAGTAAATACAACTAAAACGTTATATCTTGATAAAATTGACGGTGCGTCGTTAAATTTAAAGAAAAACAAGTTATAAAATTTACCTCTTTTTCTGACTCCACATCAACAAGTTTTATCCTACTTTTTCGATGTAGCTCCTCCTCCACTTCCCTCAACATGGATATTATTTTCTGTTCTGTAATGTCTTGCTGCAATCTGTAGCCATAAGTGACACTTTGAAAGTCCTCCTCCTCAAACACCAAAGCCTTATTAATGCAATCCTTGATTATCTCAATTATCTTGTACACAGCATAACAAAAGGTTTTCAAAGGCTTGTCCAATATTTGCCCAGGTTGATGTAGATACAAGTTTGTGAAGACAGTCTGCGCTAGGCTGTGACCTTCCAACCAAGACACTATACACGCATACGTGGAATCTATTATCCCAATAATTTCAGCTGGGGTGAAGTTGTCCAACTTAATTAGACCTGAGTCGACTGCCTGAGTAAAAGTACAGGGTTTGTTGTTCCCTCTGTTACACAGCATACCAGCATCCATCTTTGGATCCATCATCTCGATGGCAGACATGGCCTCAAATAATCCAAATAGCTCATCGTGTAACAATTCTCCCAATTTCAAATCTAAATGTGAAATGCAGAGAAACACACTTACAGATATAAAACAATTAAACAACATACTTACAGATATAAAACAATGTAAGACAAATTAGCAGAATTAATTCATCAAATTATAAACTCACTATCTTTTTATTCAAAATAAATATAATATTTACTACTAATAAAAATTATAAATATAAATAAATATTTACTAACAAAAATTATAGTTTATATAAGAAAATATCTCGCAATTATCTATATATAAAACTTTATTACAATTTACTACAACATATAGTTTACTCGTATCATTTCAGAATGTCTTCAAAATAATATTAGCAGCAAAGTTTGAATAAAAAATATTGTTCGAGTAAAAAATATTGTTCTTTATCTTTATAAAGTATATATCTATCGTGATTACAGAATAATTTTGTATGGATACTTTAAGAAATTTTCAAGGATTCCACTTGATAGTTTCCTAAGTTATTTTCATTGAATCTATTACAAATTATAGTTTAGGGTGTAAGAAAACTTTGGAAGATCAGGAAAGAAGGAATATTTTTTAAAGAGAAAGAAAACATAATATGGGATGGAAAGCAAAGGGAGTCCATCGGCAACAATCGACATATCGATCAGTCCATTACCTGTGATAGCCTCGAAAAATTCTTGCGTAATATCCACCCAGTTGTGTGTGGCTTGATCGAATCTACAAGGCAAATAATACCAATCAAAAAATATTGCCTCAGAAAGCCACGAACGACCGTGGCGATTTAGGTTAAATCGCGACGATCGTCGTGGCGAAAGAGTAGCGTGACTACGAATCGTTGCCTCCATTGTCTACGAGCGATTTGTGGAACAAGGCTGATTGTTGTATCCTGTAGTGGCCGGAAAACTTACGCCGGATCTTTGTCCTCGTTCATGTCAACCAAGCTCTGATCTTCTACCATAGTCGCCATTTCTGTGGACAATCTTACTGTCACTTCGCTACCACTACATAGAACATCAGCAGTATGGACCGCCGACTACGTTCCAATACTCATTGCCAGTTGCTGCCAGTACTGAAGATCTATAGTATACGTGACATGAACTATAGATTTTTAGTATTGGCAGTGAATAGCGGAATATAGCCGGCCGTCATACTTCGAAACTCCTTAAAATATCTATTGCCCTCATTGTAGGGAATTTACTAGATTTGTTCTTTTTCCGATAGAGTCGGACCTGTTTAAAGCTTGTATCAGACTATGGATTAAGATTGAGATTGAATTGAAAATTGGCCAATCAGAGCAAAATTCACTAAGCTCAAGTTGGGTAAACTTTGTTCTGATTGGCCAATTTTCAATTCAATCTCAATCTTAATCCGTAGTCTGATACGGGCGTAATAGCTCTCGCAGTTAGTGCGACGAGCGATATCCAATGAGTGTATTCCGAAAAAACTACGTTCATTGGATATCGCGTCGCAAATCGCGCTAGCTGCGAAAGCCATAAGGATGCGTTCCCACTTAGCGCGCACGCGTCGTCCGAATTAAGCCAATCAAATCGTCTCATTTTATTCGGCGTAAAGTTACGCAATAAAATGGGACGATTTGATTGGTCTGCGACGGACGACACAACACATGACGCACTAAGTGGGAACGCACCCTAAGTGTGCGCCAATAGCAAAACTGAGTTGGCGTTCCTTCGCTCTAGCAACTTTTGGTTACTTCACTAAAGAACAGACCTAAGTTGCATTCCAAAACGTCCTTTCTGAGGAAAATTTTACTCTTAAGTCTCTAGTGTATGTAACATGACTATAGATTTAAAAGTAATATTTTCCTCGAAAAAGATGTTTTGGATTGCAACCCTAATGCAGGATTCACATCGCGTGCGATGTTCGACGTACGACGTCAGATATCCAATAAAAGAACAGCTTTCTAATAGAGAATTCAATTCTTTGGAAATTCTTTGGAATTCAGTTGGAAAGCTGTTCTCCTATTGGATAACGGACGTCGTACATCGGACATCGAAAGCGGTGTGAATCCTCCATAACTATACCCACACTTGGCTGACCTACCGATACTACCTGTATCCCTGTCCGACCTAACCCACCGAAAACCAGTATTCGTGAATTACGTTTCGTCCTTGAGATGGTGCGCGCTGAAATAGCGCGAATGTTGCGTGAGATTAGCCGCCGCCGTGGTAGCGCCAGCGGCGTCCGGCAGGGGGAGAGGCAAGGGAGGGAAATAGGGTTAACGAAGAATCTGGGGGAATCTGGCGGTAGTGCGTGGTACGTCGTCGCCTTGATCGGTGTTGCTCGCTCGCTCGCTCTCGCTCGTTCTTCTGCAGTGTTGATACAGTGTATCGTACATACATATTGTACACACGGTGCGGTGCGCGTCCCAATTGATGTGTTTCGTCGATATCCCGTCCGACGAGAGTGTGCGGCCGGCCGCGACGTAGTTCGCGCGTATCCTCGCGGCTTGTCTCGTTTGAATTCTTTTGCGAGCGGCAAGCTCGAGGACGGTTTATACGACGGTGCTTGCGACGACTTGCTTGTGACGGTTCACTTGAGCGAGCGAGTTCAGCACGCACTGAGCGACACGCACACCACGTCCGCGTCTCGTCCTCGTCGTCTCATCCCCGACGACTGTCCACAATCTAATTGGCGGTCTCGTCTGGTCCTCTCGCGTTTCCTTCGCCGAGCTGACTGTGAAAGTGCATGCTGCCGTAGGAAGGTGCGACAAACAGCGGACTTCTGTGCTTCGCGGCCACGGAGGATGTTGGATCGCGACACGGCGATACATCTCGTCGCCGGAGGGTAAGCTTTATTTTTCGGCTGACGCAAGAGCCCGGCACGGGCCTCGCTTTACGTCACGGCCTTGGCTCGCTTTTCGGACCGTCATCTGTCCCTAACCCTCTGACAATCCCGATCGATTCGATTTAGTGCTGGTGTGTGTGATTTAGTGCTGATCCGACTTGCAATCGAGTCCGAATTTTTAGACTTTACTTTTATCGAAGCATATTTAACACGTGTGTACAGAGCCCCTCCCCCACCTTCCCGTGGCATCTCTTCTACACGAGTCCTGAACAATCAGATGTCCGTGTTTTCTTAAAGAGAATCGTACATTCGACCGAATTACATTCGATGATGAATTGATCGTACGAATTGGATGCGATAAATCGAAGCTTTGAGCCAGCCGTTACGTCATGCGAGACGAAGAGATTCGTCCTTTTCCGTCGTCGAATAGCGCGCCATAAGAAAACGTGTAAATACGCATCTGCGTAATTTAGATGTGGAAAGGAGATTGGTCGATGTTATCAAGTCTAGGAGACAGAGGAATGCGTAGTTCACAAGAAGAGAGCGTTTCCATGATAGCATCAGCGGCATAAATCAGTCTTATTTCGATGTAATGTTATTTACTGAGGATAAGACGCGATTAAATAATCGCCGGGCGTGAATATTTCCGAATTTCTCCGTCGTTATCGCCGACATGGTTGATAATCCGTGTGGACACGTGACAAAAGCACGCCTGCATGAGTAACGTGGCGTGCGAAACACATCGCATACTACGATGCTCACTCTCGCCGGATGACTGAACCGCCGCCGTAACGCATGATGAAATTATCAATTATTTTTAACTCGACCCTGGTGAGAAGATTCGAACCCTCGCTAAAAATTGAATACCCAAATTATTTTCGAAGAAACATTTTTTCAATTTTTGAATGTGCAGCATTCGCATAAAAAATATAGTTTTTTATATTTTTTTTTTGCAACACTCCAATCCGACATTCATCATAATCAGTGAGGGTATTGGTAATGCAAGGGATTGTTAATAATTCAACCAACTACTAGTACTAAACTACTAGTGGTAGTTACCGTACACTAGAAAATGCATTTGTGTGATATAAAGTTTACTTCACAGAGAAGTAAACTGCATTTCATATAATAAATAAACTTTACGTCCCACAAAGAAATTTTCGAATATTTCTTCTCGGTGCATTAACCTGCTTATATTGCAAAATTACCGTATTTGCATCGCGTGGCTGGAACATATTCAAATCAGAGCGGAAATTCATGTGTTATAGCAACGAATAGATTATTTAGATTCCTTTCAATCTTCCAGGAAGAAAATTCTCTTCGTGTGTATATTGATTGCATTCACAAATCATAAATCTGTTATTAACCTTTTAGTTCTGCTTAGTACAGCAAATCGCAGTCACAGACGAGCGCATACGCGTGTTATTTTTTACCAAGTAATCGAAACCATTACACTACTAAAACGTGTAACAATATACGGCGTATGTGTGTGTGTCCGTGATGTTGCGTAATAAATATAAAGTGTGTTGCGTAAATACAAGACAGGATACATTGAACGTGAGAAAAGATCTCCTGCGTGATATCGATAACCTTAAGTGGCGATTTCTGGTTTGTAACTTTCTGGACTATGATATATATATAGATAAGACTAGTTTTAACAACGTCGTTTGATTCCAATCGCGAGATTCGTTGATTTGTTTTCTCTATTTATAAATCATAGTCAGTACCGTAGCAAGATATCAAATCACATACATATACAGAGACGAAATAAGGTGAAAGATGAAATATAAGAGAAGAAGGAAATTTTTCTCATGGAGAAAAGAATTTAGTTAAACTAATGCTTCCAAAATATTTAGCCACATTTTGCATATCCTACTCATCACAGAGATGAGAAAAAATTCTTTTCAAGAAATATTTTTTATGAACATCTCTCTCTCTCTTTAAAAAATGTATGAAAATAAGGAAATCTTGATCATACAATCGCGACCAATTAGCTCCAATTAGCGAATTTAGTCCTTCCTTTTACATCATATCGCATTAACAGTAATAAATCGAGAAAATGAGGTCGATCAATTTAATCCGCTGATTAATGCCAATTGCACAGTCGGAGATCCGAAAATACTTCGATCGGCAAGTACTGTCGTGGTTAACAAAATAGTCGTTTATATATATAATGATACAGTCGTCGGTAAAAAGGTCACGATACTTCTCATTTCGATGAGTTTTGGAACAGGTGCGATCTTCCTCACGATTCTCACTTTCCCGAATACTGTTCCTAGAGAAACGCGCGTTGCAACCTTTTCGTCTCTCGACTATTTAACCGCGAGATGACACGACAGTATTCGCCTATCATCGTTTACAGGTGGAGGACGCGTTATTTACTAAATAAACAGTCACACGCTAACCGTCACGGTGCAGCTGGCCTTACCAATGCCGAAACACAAGATCGTGTTATTTACAAGATCGCGTGTCAACTCGCACGCAGAATTCGACGACGCAGTTATGCAAAATGTACACTCGCCGTGTATTTGCATTCGCTGCCTACCTGCTCATGCACGCACGCACGTACACATACACCGATATCCGTGCGACTCTCTCTCTCTTTTTCTCACCTTTTTCTCACCTTTATACAGGGTGTCTCTCGAAACAGTGATAACTAGCGAATTTTCTCGCGAGAAAAAAAGACCAAAGAACCAAAAAGGATATTCGTATACATGTGTTTTTCAATATATCTCTAAAATATACAATTTGCATACGATCAGATTGTGTAAGATTGCGTGAGCATGTGTAACTTGATGGAACAGCGCGATGGAAATAAGTTAGAGGGCGATTCGGCGCCTGAGAAAATAATCGATAGACGATGATACTTGCGATATGCATCTGGTCGGGCATTTAAGATCCTGTTCTATTTTCAACGCGGCGTAAGAGGTTACATACATTAGCAATCGCACTCGATCACGTACGTATTTTTGACTATTTAAAGATCACTTCACGACGTAAATACCAATACCGTCAGCACGAACCAGATAGTTTCTCTACAGAACCGTATATATTCAAATTCGGAGATACTTCGAATTCTTCCCGAAATAACCGAATATTCGAGTGCTCGCAATAAAAAATCTCATGTTGCCACGTGTTATTGATTTTCGCGGGAGCTGACGTCGCGGGAGTTGATTTTGCCTTTTCATTTTCTGAAGTGGCGTTTCTCTCGCGAGAAAATTTGGCAACTTGAGAATATCCGGAAGACTCGAATATACATCCAGATAGATATCCGAGCTCGGATCTCAGCTGTCCGAGCACGCTAATCGACAGAGTAGCACGATATAATCAAGTTATTAGAGTTTTCTAACCGTAAGCACATTATCAATTAATTACTTAGTGATTATTCAAAGAGAGACAGGCATGTTGTATCAATTCAGCAATCCATCACCGCGACAGCTTTGCGTTAATGACCGAATGTGTACAGTTTTAAAATACTATTAACCTAATTACTGTGTTAAGACTATTTTACATCAATTAATGTACATGAGTAGCCAAATATTGACATCATTAGCGAATACACATTTGGAAGCAAAATGACAAGGATACACGGAGATAAATAATTTTGCTCTTTTAGCAAAATCGTCGTTGCTACTGCACATTCGTAGTGATATCAAAAAAATTTAGTTGACGCAACTAATTTTATAAATTATTCGTTATCAAAGCAGAAGTAGTTTCGTTGCCAGAATAGAAAAAATTTGTTGAGTGTATTTGTCCTAATAATCACGTTAATTTGCTATTGATGCAAAGTAACGTATCCTTAGCAAATTTATTTGCTATCGGAGCAAAACTGCAATTGTTTATATAAATCCATCATGGTTCTTATAGCAAAATAATTTGTAGATTCAGCAAATTATATCCAGCAAATAACGATTAGTACTCTTACACTGAAAAAAAAATTTACTAAATTTTCAAAAAACGTTTGTTTGGATAGTACTGTGAAGATATTTGTTTAAATTAAGTAATTATTTTCTAAAATTAAATAAAGAAGTTTTAAATATAAATTGGTTTCTTTAATTTTAGAAACTAATTATTTAATTTAAACAAATATCTTCACAGTACTATCCAAACAAACGTTTTTTGAAATTTAGTAAATTTTTTCTTAGTGTAGCAAATCTTTTTGCTGTCCATATAATAACGAAAAGATTTTGCTAGACCAGCAGAAAATTTGCTGGGCCAGCAAATTATTTTTCTCCGTGTACTTTTATTTTCTGAATAATTTTTGGATTCAATCAAAGCATCGAATACATAGCGCGCAATTCGTCGCAAAGCATGAAATGTCGCCACTATCGCCTATAAAGTGCATGTATTGAGTATTGTTATTAATTGTTGTACAATTACAAATTGTTATTACGACCTACATCGTGTCGTAAACGTACGCGCGATGCCGCCAGGGGAATTGTCGCTTAGACATTCGCAAGTCGCAAAATCAGTATGCGCGAATCTCAATCGACGTTTTGTACCTATTGTATTCGCGGTGGCTTGAACACGAGAGGAACGTGAGCTCGCACCTGCTTTATGGCGCGGAAAGATACGCAAGTTTACGATGCGCGACGTGTGAATCAGACGCTAATTCACGGCCTCGTTTCTTAAAAAGTTCAGCGCACTACGCGCTGGCAACTTCAGGCATGGGTGAGAATCTCGCTTACCTGTAAGAGTCTTTTTGAAAGGTCAATTATGTTTTTCCACTAAAGTAACACACGGAAAAAAAAGATCTGCTACATATGAACAACTAAACATAATTTGCTGTATTAGCCATTTTTTCTTTGCTGCAGGAGCCAATTTTCTTGCTATGATAACAAAAATCTGTTCCTGCAACAAAAAAAGTATCTAAAGCAGTAAATTATGTTTAGTTGTCCATCTGTAGCAAATTTACTATATTAGCAATTTTTTTTGCTGTAGGAGATTTTCTTGTTATCATAGCAAGAAAATAGGTTCCTGCAGCAAAGAAAAAGTAGCTAACACAGTGAATTATATTTAACTGTCTATATGTAGCAAATTAGTTTGCTGCTGCAGCAAATTATTTTTTTCTGTGCATAAGTATGATCTTTTTTCCTAGGAGATATCAAACTTATGCTCGATGTAACGAAGCATATCGAGGATCGTCTACAATAAGAATAAAGTATGATTGTAAGAAGTAAAAGTGAGAAATTGATCGATCGCAGTCAAGCGTGAAAAGAATAATCGACTGTGATTGCTCAATTTGTTACTCTTACTTCTTATTTTACTTCTATTGTAGATGTGGATTCTATTGTAGATTCATACAAATGCAAAATTATTTGTCACTCGGTCGGAATTCTTGACGTTAAATTTCTTTCGCCTCGAATTCGCGAAATTTTTCTGAACTCAACGCGAAATTAAGCGAAGAATCTCGTGATCTTCCTATGCTACTAAAACTTAATTTGTGCGAAGAGATCTTTATCGAATTATTAAATTACTCATAAGCCAAGAGTTGTTCATTACTCAAGACTTTTACCGGGCTAAAACAAACGCGACAGATTTAGATTCCAACAGTTTATCGATTTATCGTCCTCTGTGCGACGAATTCAATTGAATATGCGCAACATTGGCCGGAACAACGGTAACCCCCCAAATTCAACGGTTATAAACACATCACTGATAAAGCGTATCGCGACGAACGGTGAGTGCCAGTTCGCTAACATTGGCAATTAATACTTTGCAGCGCGGCGCGAAATAATTATCGCGCGTTTAATTGGAAAGATTTGCGAGATTATATCAATAACAAGTTTCACGCACCTTTCTCGTGCCTCCTTACTCTCTCCCTATCTATTTTTCTCTTCTAAGCTCCAGATGACGTTTCTCATGTATCATACATGTATCATACATGTCGATATCTCAGAGAAAAAGAGAGAAAAAAAGAAAGAAAGAGAGAGAAAGTCCGTGTCTACGTGATTATTTTAGTTTTTTATCTCGCCGATGCACAGATATAATTTCACTTGAGCGAGATATACAATGAAAATCTGATTAAATTCGTAACGAATCTCGCTTCACTTGTCTCACTCCATCTGTTGTTATCATTATATGTCGTAATCATGATAAGCATATCGTTATGTATTTATAACGACCATTAATATCGTACATATAAGCGGTCGTAACACGTAAGAACTTTCTCGCGAAGAATAATTTTCTCATAAATATTACAATATTTTATAGCATTAAAATAAATTTTGTGTTCACACTATCCGTATCTGCAAAGTGTATTTAATATAACTGTCAGTACGATTTATATTTCACGAGTATCCTCCACGAGTACGCGAATGAACAAAATGAGATAATGAAAATTACGTGATACCATGCGTGATATAACAAACGCACGAGAGCACACGGAGAGAATTTTTATTTAATAACGCAACGTATTGTGTAACGTGCGACTGGGATATATTCATATCAGAGTTAAAACTTAGATGTTATAGCAACTGACCAGTAGTTTACTTGAATATTTTTTTAACCAGGCAATATACAAATTTATTGCATATCAGTCAGCTGATTAAAAGCTGCAACATTTTTCCTCGATGAGTTTCGTAACGTATCTGATAGAAGAATTTGTTTTTTAATAATTCTCAGGAAATCCCCATTTTCCTATTAGAGATACGAAATACACTTCAACGTCATCTCGAGGAAAAATGTGAAATCGGAAACTTTAATCGGCTGTACAAAGATACATTTCGTGCTTTTTTCATATATTTCGAATGACACGCGTGAAAGTATCCCAGTCGGACAAGTTAGTATACGATGCTTATCCAGTTGACGAATGCTAATATCTCTCATAAATATTCGTTCCGCGTATACTGGTCCCGTAGAGGAATCAACAACTGTGAGCACGAATAAGCAGCGAGCATTAGCGGACAGCGTCGGTAATTGCAGACTTTCCTTGTATCTCGCGTAGTGTGGCTGGCACGGCAGGAGCGATAGTGACTTGTCCCCTGGAAGTAGTAAAGACCCGACTGCAATCCTCGTCTTCTGGCTTCCATCCGCCACCGCTGAACAAAGAATTCACGTCTGGTCACTCCACGTGCAGGAGTTCGCCTACACCCGAACAACGCAGAAGGCTATGCACCGGCTTGTATCCGCGGTAAGTCAACGAGCGAATAAATCCGATCGATCGCCGACATTAATGCGGACATTGTTGTACGTGCCACGATAATTTATTATAATTAATGCTTTCCAGTCAGATACTTAAAGCTGTATAATTGAATCGTTGCTCGTAAACGACTCGCGTGCCATTTATTTTTCAAGGTCTCGCGCGTTATCTTTTCCATTTGGCATACGCCAACATATACGGGGTGTCCGGGCAATCCTGGTAGAATTTTATCTTCCGACATAAAAGAGTTATCGTAAGCATCTTCGCGCCGATAATAAAGCCGAGACATGAAATTTTTCCACGCTTCGCTCTTTTCACGTTCATAAATCACACAGTTTAACTTGTAGCGACTGTTAAGCCTCAAATCTGTATAAACAACATCGAAAATCTCATTAAAAGATCCGATACGATTAGATAGATCTACAGCTGTCTCGGCATTTGTCACATCGTGTGGGGGCTTGAAGCGAGATCGCATTTGATGTAAATGATTGCCGTTTAACGTGTCACGCTCGTCGCACAATCGCGGCGAGATATGTGTCGCTTCATCTCTCCTCTCTTCTTTTCTTCAGGTACTCCAGTCACTTCGTAGCCCTTTCGCACTTTGGCGTCTCGAGCCCGCCGCCGCAGTCTCGACACGCGCCAGGTATCTATGAGTGTATACGGTATATTATCAAACATGAGGGGGCCCGGGGACTATTCAAAGGTCTCGGGCCGAATCTCATCGGCGTGGCACCATCTAGAGCGATCTACTTTTGCGCCTACTCCAAGAGCAAAGTCGCATTCAATGCGATCCTACCTCCCGATACTCCGATCGTCCATGTCTTCTCTGCGTCCTGTGCTGGTAAGATTAAAAATATATATATCTTTGCGCGCATACACACACACACAACAGATACATTTCTATTTTACACACACGACGTATACACATACAGCTGATACACCACCACTCGCGGTGCATCGAGGGACTCGTCGATCTCGAAGCTGAAATGTAGCTTTCGCACCTTTAATGTTTCACGACATGTTCACGTTTTCCACGGGTTCTATGCTGGTTTCTTTCTTGCTTTTTTTGTCAGTCGTTCACAGTCGGAGAGGTACACATACATAATATTACACAACAGGAGAAACATTTTTATTAAAACATGATAGCACAGAGACGAAAAAATTCAAAAAATTTGATGAAGTTCAAATCGACGCTCTGAGAGATATAATGTTACTTTTAATTTGCTTATTGTACACTTCGCAACAACTACAGGAGCATGAACGTTACTTGAGCAGGTTTGGACTTGACGTGCGCGAGCGAACGTTAATTCTCACACCTGTCTTCTCCGCACTTATTACTCGCGTGTATTTTCGGCGCCGAAAGCCATCACCGCGACGGGACCGTGAAATACGGGTCCGATCTCTTTCCGCGCATTTACTTCGTTACTTCGAAAAAGTACCGCGAAACAAGTCGCAGGCAAGATCGATATTAAACGTCGCGGCGCGACGTGTCGCGCTGTGAGACGACGTAGTAAAATTACGGAAACGTAACGCGACGATGTATTCATCCATACATGCTAATTTGCACACCGGACGATGGTCTGGCGCGACTGTTATTACACGGTCATTAACGCGGCGTTACGTGGGTGTTAATCTCCCTGCCTCGTCGCTCACCTTGAGCCGGCTCGCATCTTCGTCCGCGAAACATTCTGCCCGCGTTATATTCGTATTATCGTTTAAAATTACACCACGCTACATTATTATTAAGCCTCGTCAAAAGCACCTCTTTCGCTATTTTTCATCGATCAGCAACTATTTTCACGTCGCTCGGCACGGAAGATAAAATATCCTTTTCTTCTCTCTCTCTCTCTCTTTCTCGCGCGCGCTCGCGACGCAATAGCCGCAATAAGACGAGGGTGATTACAATGCATACACCTCGGGGGAGAAATGACTGCCCCGCTACGAGTAACAGCCACTTTACACCTGTATTACAATATGATTTCGTATTCTTTCTATCACGCACGGATTTTGAGAGAATCAGTTTCTTAACTCCGCAACACACGCGCGAGAGTCAAGTGTATTGTGTGTGAATGGGGGAATTTAACTTTTAGGAACTTTAGGTTTTGCATAAGTTGTCGACACTATTATTCTCTCGGTCATTGTCGAGGGGGAAACGCCATCCTCGTCGTGCGGGTGAAAGAGAGCCAAGCGTTCGCTTCGATAGAGGATCGCATGAATGTAAGTGATATTGCGTCAGATATATTTACTCTGTATCTGTTAAAGTGTTACTTTTCTCAAAAGCTATACGTGATAGGAAAAGTATCAAGATCATATCGGAAAGGAATTTTCCTTGAGAATTTCTCGGATCCCTACGAGAGATGCACTGGAATCAGTCGGAGTAAAACTGACTAAATCGTCACGAAATTCAATTCGAATCGATTTATCTACGCCTCTCGCCCGCGTGCATCAGTTTTCCTACGTGTCGGACCGAGATCTTGCTTTCAGCGAGATTTTTCAACGCGAATTTATCGCGGAATCCACGTGTCTCTTTAGCGTCGAGGGAGATTATTATTTATCGAGACGTTTCGACATCGTACGGTTACGTTTCTCGACGAATTATATCGACAATTAACGCGCACTCAACGCGTATATACACTGAGGGGAAAATTATTGATTTAACTAAAGTTATCTAACTATAATTCTTTTCGGGCCGCCCGGTCATATCTTTTGCTTGTTTAGGCACAAAAATGGTAACACGCATCATTAACATCTTAGAAAAATTTAATAAAAATGCGTTTCCTGACCACATAACTTATGATTGTTCCTCTATGTGATCACAGTTACAAACACCAAACATTTTTTGTTCTCAGTGTACCTAAACCATTAGACCTAAATTCGCGAGAAGCTTCGTCCTCGAGTTGGAACTACTCATTATCGCGCTCGATGGAAAATTTCGCTAAGGACAAGCCGCGCGAAGAGCCGATCGAAAAGGAAAAAAGGAAATACATGCCTTAAAAACATTTCGCATGTGTGTTTCCCTCCGCGCGATTGCAACAACACGACGTCAGCGAACGAAATCCGCGCTAAGTCATTGTTATGCCGCATCGCCTTTGCTCCATCGTCGTTCTCGTTGGCCTATATGAAGTTAGCCTCCCACTTTTCGAATTTAATAATTTTGACAGTTGTGCTGATTTGTGCTAGGTTTGTGCTACATTGTGCTCGAATTATAAATTTTTAATACGAAAAATGAACAAGAAAAATGGAAAAAACCGTTTTTTGGTAGCCCCCCACTTTTCGATTTTCGAAATTTTTTTTATTGGTTAGGTTGTGCTAAGTTGTGCTAACATTGTGCTAAAGTAGTATCTTCGAAAAATAATCACGAAAGAAATAAGATGAAAAAAACGATTTTAGGCAGATAGAATAAAAGTAAAGATAATAAAGTAAGGAATAAAAGTAAGGAAATAAAGGATAACAAGAAAGGAAGCATGTGTTTACTCTTGACGTCGAGTACTGTCAAATCGATTTTTTTACGAATTTTCGGAGAACGAATGATCTTATGAGTCTCATACTCTAGAATTATAATTCTTAAGCCTAGAGCAACTCAGAACAAAAAGATCTCGGTTGGAACAAGAAAGGAAGCATGTGTTTACTCTTGACGTCGAGTACTGTCAAATCGATTTTTTAACGAATTTTCGGAGAACGAATGATCTTATGAGTCTCATACTCTAGAACTATAATTCTTAAGCCTAGAGCAACTCAGAACAAAAAGATCTCGGTTGGAACAAGAAAGGAAACATGTGTTTACTCTTGACGTCGAGTACTGTCAAATCGATTTTTTAACGAATTTTCGGAGAACGAATGATCTTATGAGTCTCATACTCTAGAACTATAATTCTTAAGCCTAGAGCAACTCAGAACAAAAAGATCTCGGTTGGAACAAGAAAGGAAACATGTGTTTACTCTTGACGTCGTTGACATACTGTCAAATCGATTTTTTAACGAATTTTCGGAGAACGAATGATCTTATGAGTCTCATACTCTAGAACTATAATTCTTAAGCCTAGAGCAACTCAGAACAAAAAGATCTCGGTTGGAACAAGAAAGGAAGCATGTGTTTACTCTTGACGTCTTTGACATACTGTCAAATCGATTTTTTTACGAATTTTCGGAGAACGAATGATCTTATGAGTCTCATACTCTAGAACTATAATTCTTAAGCCTAGAACAACTCAGAACAAAAAGATCTCGGTTGGAACAAGAAAGATAGTATAAGTTTACTCTTGGTCCGATAGACTGTTTGTCAAAAAACTTTTTTTTAATTTTTCGGGCTTATAATTAAACTTATTGATTTGTGCTTTTGGAACAATGTTTGGAACAACTAGAACAATCTATATCGGTATCGGAATGCTTTATTTTCAAAAAATGGGGTGCCAGGTCAAAAACATTTTTTTCATTTTTTGGACTTATAATTCAACTTACGGATTTGTCCTTTTGGAACAATGTTTGGAACAACTAGAACAATCTATTGCGGTATCAGAATGTTCGATTTTCGAAAAGTGGGGTGCCAGCTCAAAAAATCATTTTTTTTGTTTTATTCGAAAACCGTTTCGAATGAAGCAATATCACTTTGGAACAATGTGGTACAAAGTCAGAACAATCTGGAACAACTTTCAAAATTATAAAAGTGGGGTGCCAACTTCATGTACTCATGTCGCTCTGACCTTGGAAGCAAGAAGAGAAAACAAAATGCCGCAAACAGATTTGCGCGCCCACGGTTGTATGTCGTCAATTCGACATATCGCTTGTTGCGCCGTCGAGTTATATTCTGTTTCGCCGGCAATCCAATCAACGAGGCGGCGATAGACGCGCGATTAGCGCCCGTCGGAGGAACGAGGAGGGGGGTGGGAGAGGATGATATTCTGCGCGTCATTCATGCACTATCTTTAATGGATCCGTCGGAGTGCCGTCGTGAGAACATCGCGTCGCGATCCCGAGACGACGTGCGCGCGGCCGCCCGACTAGCCTCCCGATGTCGATAACCCGAGGACACGCGGTACATGTGTGCGTATCCGGTAGCGCGATTTCGCGCACTTTTACTCTCGATCTGCCTCGCTCGATTCGCCCCGTCGTCCGCGCGATTTGCGAATGTGGAACGCGACGCGAACGAGAGAGAAACGTCCTTAAAGGGGTATGCCGAAGTTGAAAACTTCACCGACAACACACTGACATTTTTCTGCAAAGTTCACGTCGCATTAGTTGTACAGAGTTGCAAACGCTTTTACGCAATGAAAGTACGTGCAAAAATAAATAGGAGCATTGCTCGATATATATATATAAAAAACAAATTTGAAGTGTAACATCTCAAGCTGTCAGTCAGCATGATATTTGTCTAATCCAAAAGTTCCGCATCTTGTACCCAAAATACGAATGCTCCAAGAATGGAACTCAAAAATGGAACTCTTGGAAAATCACATCCGGAGTTCTGCTGTACGTTGATAATCTCGAGAGAGATTTAACTGGCCTTTCTTTTTTTATAAATGCATTCATAATGCGATTGAAGGCGGGAGACTTATCATGGACCATAAATGGATCCTCGTCCTAAAGATTCCAGCTTAATCGTTATCTAATTTGGGCCCCTCTAACGTCTTATTAAAGAGCTGCATGGTTATTTTTGTAAACGCGATATATACGGTGTTCCTTTTGCATTGTCACCACGTGGAGCTGTTGAGAAACGAACGTAGCTGAACGCAAATCGGTAGTCGCGAGTCGAGTCGCGATTTGGAGGTCCCATCGTGCATGCGTGTGTTGTCTCGATTTGCTCGGGGATCCCCGCCACGGAGTAGACGTCGCCAACGGAAACGACGACGATGAGATTGACGTGTTGCGTAACACGTCGAGAATATCGTCGCGCGCAATTTATGCGTTCCTGTTACGATTACGACGTTAAATACGACGTCGTCGTACTTTTGGCACTTCTCGAAACATACTTCCGCTCCTTTCTGCTCCAGCTCGTTTAACTTGCAAGACACTCGGTGCGTCGTGGTCGATAAGACCCCCGTGAACAATATAAGGCGTTATCTGCGCGAACTTTGACTCCACGGACGATCTGTCCGCGTTATTCGATCGGTTCGCAGGGGAGCCACGCAGTCAGTGCGTGTTCCTCCACTTTTCTTGTTTATTGCTCGCGACGTATCAATCGAATACGCACGTCATCAGAATCTTCACGTGTTCTGTCTCTTTCTCCCTCTCCGTCTCTCTTTCTTCTTCTCTTTCGTTTCGCGAATCTTTCAACTCGTCCAACGAAAATTGAAATTTTGATCTCATTGCGCGCCTTCTTGATTCTCGCGACTTACATAAGCGACTTTTGAACAGAATGTTACTATAAAAAAATCTCACTAAAGGAGAGATAGTTAGGGTAAAATGTGCAGAAGACTTTTAGCTATTTTGAGGTATGTGCTTTCTTTGAGGAAAATTCTTTCAAAGTGTGTCACGCTTCTCGGACACACGTTGACGTGAAGGTCTGAATATCTTATGAATTTCTCGACAGTGCATATAATTCTCAATTCATCGCGATTCCAGTCATCCATACATGTCATTTGCACACGAGGAGAATTTTATATTAATAATCGCTGTAGAATTTTGTAACCGAGGAAAATGAGTCGATATTTTCCCAGTAATTAACTTATACTTTCATTTCACATGTGTTACTTATATTTCAAGAACTGAAGAGAGTGTGCTATTAAAAAATTTGCTATATTTCTAACGAAATTTGTTATATTCCTTAGCAAGATAGATCTCACTGACATGCTCTGTAATATTCCTCTACACTACTCCAGAAATTTTATAAAATTGAGAATAGATTAATATGAAGGAAGAAATTACAATATTCTCTCCGTGTGTCGATTCGTCAAACAAAAAGGAAATTCTCTTCATATTAAACGAAGAATAAGGCAAATAAGAGCCAACTGCCGATCTTAATGGCATCTTAATTTTGTGATTTTCGCTATTAAGATCGAGAGTTGGCTCTTATTTGCCTTATTCTTTATTTGCTTTGATAAAGTCTCAATCTATAACTTTTGATTGATTCTCTCCATATTGTTTTATTTCCTTGCTCGCATATCACGACGTCGTTCATCGTAGTGATTTTTCAATCGCGTGCGCGTGTCGCATCGAACGATCGGCGATCCCTGATGATAACTATTGTTTATAACGATAGAATCTAATCTCTGTGACAATTCGCTGACGGTCGAATATCACTTATGTCATTCGGGTCTTGGGGATCAGCACGAGGCTCCGTTCTGCTTCTGAACGCGTATGCAATCGAATGAGAACATAATGATATCACGTGTACGTTTACTTGCACAGATAAGGCGTTACATAAAATCGCGTGTATATGCGTATTTTCTACTCTGCTTTAAACAGTCGAGGTCTCGTAATGGTTTCTTCACCGCTTGAACTGTACGTGATACTATCGTTTTTTATATTCCCTCAAAAAAAAAACACGGTAAACCTCGGCTAAAAGACAGAGGAGTTTTATGTTTAGGACAACAGCATGTGAGAGCATAGCGCGATTATTGCGCGCGTGGTTTATTTTCGAGAAAATATCGAAAAATATCGGTGAACAAATTTCTATCTTGCTGTACCAACCTTGTTAAAAAGCTAATTTTATTTTTTTCTCGAGCAATTTAGAGTTAATTTCATATATTTTATTCTTTCTTAAAAATATCCTTCAACGAGAACTTTTCACATAAAACAAAATCGTTTTACATAGAATATTATTTTTTAATTATTTCTTTTTGTATAGAATAAAATCATTCTTTCTCGCAATTATCATATATCATTTCGACACAACGAGACTTAAATACGTAAACATTGTTCGTTAGATACTAACTCGCCTCATTTTCTCCTGACAAATCTCTTTTTTGGATTTAGGAAGTCGTGCCAGACGTGTTTGACGAGTTTCATTCTTTCTTCCTTCCTCTCTCTCTCTCTCTCTCTCTCTCTCTCTCTCTCTCTCTCTCTCTCTCTCCCCCTCCTCCTGTCATCTTTCTCTGCCTTCCCCTTTCTCTTTCCTTTTCTTCTCGTCCTTCTGTCGCGCCACCGCCGCCGCCTCGTCGAGAGTGCCTCTCCGACGGCGTACTTCTATTTTTAGCCGACCTAACCACGTAATTCAATGCCCGTCGTTGCGGCCGTGCGAGAACACGACCGACAACGGAGCCCTATCGTCGGATGATCGCGCGCCGCAACGGTGCAACCGGAATTGCATCGCAATTCGAGATAACGTGCGCGCGCCGCTTTATCTTCCTCGGCGCGTGCATCATTCAGTTTGAAAAACACTTAACGACGATCGGAAATTGCGGCTGTTCGGCATGAGAACGTTGTATTTTCGCGCTGCGCTTCATCGTGAGCGCGCCTTGTCGCTCGTACCGATATCATCGTGTCCCGATACTAAACGCGAAACACTTGAGTAGATAAAACTTCGTATTGACAGTGATCATATTGCAAATTTCTTTATTACTCTTTTGTTATTACTCGCGACAAGGTAGGAACACGGTATGCGATCTGCGCATAAATATTCTACGAATATTGTTTTACGAATATCATTTATTAAGAATACGAAATATCATTTCACGAAGTATCAGGTTGGTGCAAGATTTTGTGTATAAAATATCACATTGTTATTGTATTCTGTATGCAACAAATTCTTCGTTTGATTGTGTAAAGATGTCATTTTTCTATTAGATTCTCGCTAGAAGTTCGCGTATTAGAAGGTAAACAGAAAGTTCTCGTTTGACATCTAAAACAATACCGAAGTCGATTTTGTTCATTTCATTCGCAAAAATTATCAACCCTTCAAGACTGGACAATTTTTTTCCATTTGATTTAACGAACACGACGAACCTTTTGAACCAACTCAATTTACAGTGAAATGGATCGTGTATGCATTGAATTACAAAGCATATTGCTTTAGAAGCGTTGCTCTAGTCTACTTCGCGCCACGAGTGGGAAGCCGGTCGGAAGTTGAGTCGAGAAGAATCAATCAGCAGCCACGTTTTCGAACAATCCTCTCCAGCTAGCGGCGAATTCGTATTTTCGCGGTTACGGAATCGTAATGTTCAGCGAGGATAATACGACCGGTCTTTGCGCGATGTTTCAGACCGGTTCGCCCAGTCCCGGTCCACGCGATACCGAATACTTTCAGGTAGCGCGCGAGAAAGGTAAATAAAACATAAACGAGAGTCATCGCTGCGCTCGCAATAAATTGCACACTACGCCACGCACAGTGATGGTGGTCTCTCGCTTGCGTAACCCTCGCGTGCTTCTCCCGCATACTCTCGGCTACGCATATTTTCCTACGCAGCAGCGCGCTAATAGTACGATGCCCCCCGGTCCCGTGTCAATGGGACCGTAACAAACCTTCCACCCGATACAGCAAGCTGCCAGACACCTGTAAACAATAAAATTCGCACGGAGAGAGAGTCGAAGTCGTTTACGAGTCTTCCGTTTCATTGTCGCAGCCGTATCAATTGATGATGCGAAGCAGAGAAACGACGCGAGTCTTCCTTTCTTATGCGTGAAAATAAAGTGGCTAAATTATCTTTTCATGCACGATAGCAAGCACAAACTTATACCTTCACGATTACGTATGGTTTTAGCGTTTATCCGGGTAATGAGATTAAAATTGCACTTCACTCGCGCATAAATTTTCGTGTGCACTATTGAAAAATAGCGCTGCCTGCCTTTAAAAGAAGAAATGTGGATAACTCGAACGCAATTGACTTTCAAGGAACATTATTTCCAAAATACACAAACACACACGCGCGCGTACCGGACACCGGCGTCTCGTACCTTACGTAGCTCGTTTTACTAGATCAAACATCGATCGAGTGGCAATATCAGAAATTACTCACATTAAGGGGTTACTTTCTCAATGAACCTGACTCGTTATCAAGGGTTCGATTCTCTCTTCTTACGTAAGACGAAATCTAAAAATTATAGACTTCGTTTTGCGCGGGAAGCGAGCCCCGCTTTGCGTGAAAACTTACTCTTGATAACGTATATTGTGAAGTTAAATTTGCACGGAAAGCATACAATTGGTTTAAGATAGATCTCGCTCTATTTGAATATAAGAGGTAAATATAGAGATATTTACGGATCGAAGTAGAAACAACCTTGAAGATGATATACACATGTGTAAACACAGAAATGATGTCGATTTCCACACTTGATGAGACTCAAATCAAATCCAACAGTGACTGTGAACACTTACTTTGGATAACTTGTTCAGTGACTTTTGATAACTTTCTCATCAGTAATAACCGCCGGCTAAAATCTGGTAAAAATTATGAGAGAGTCGTAGTCTTTCAAGATCATGGGTGAGATACCCTTCAATGCATAAATCATTACAATCATCGAAGGTAAATTACCGTTTGTCTGTTAGAAAAAGGGAAAAGTAGAGCGATTTGCAACAGCAACAAGTGTCGTGGTTCACAATAAACGCCGTGGTTCACTTTTGCAGGTTTCACGGCGTGTACATTGACAAATCCAATTTGGTTCGTAAAGACCAGACTACAGCTAGACCATCGAACGAATAAAATCACTGCGATAGAATGTATGCGGAGGATATATCAACAATCGGTAAGATGATTTATTTTATTTCTTGTTCCGATGATCCGTAAGATTTGATCAGACACTCGCTGGTATATACGTCGACTATACATCCGTGTGACTCTGAATTTAATATACATTAAATATACAGCTCGTGTTCACACGATATTGTGTGTATATAAAATATGGAACGACCGTCTGCGCGTGTGTGTTTAGCGTTAAGCACACAATCGTCTCTCTGTGTTTCTTGTAGCGAACACCAGCTCAACTGGTAAACGTTGTAACGAGTAGCTGAGCTAGTAATTGTTATTGTGGCTTGCCTTGAAATGGATAATTGCGGAGTACGCTGGATAATAATAGTTACACTATTTCATGAAAGCTGCTATTTAAATAGTATTGTTCCCGGGCGGAAAATAAACGTTTACCGTTATCTAAGTAGTGCAACTGAAAAGTACGCGATATCTAGTCAAGAGATATAACCTAATTTTAGACAAAGATAAAAGACTCGAAATACATATCGATAACGCGTTTATAAAGAAAAATTGAAGGTTGAAAAATCCCGCAAAAATCCTGTGTACGGGGTGTCTGACGATAACATCAAGTTCTCATATAGATTAGCTCAGATTGAACAAAAAGTTTTCTACACAGAGAAAAATAATTTGCTGGCCCAGCAAACTTCCTGCTGGTCTAGCAAAATCTTTTCGTTATTATATAAATATCAAAAAGATTTGCTCAGAATACTAATCACTATTTGCTGGATATAAATTTGCTAAGGATACATTATTTTGCATCAATAGCAAATTGACGTGATTTTTAGGATAAATACACTCAACAAATTTTTTCTATCCTGGCAACGAAACTACTTCTGCTCTGATAACGAATAATTTACACATTTAAAATTACACGCAAAAAAATGATTTATTAATATCAGCTAAACCGCGGTAACTGATTCAAACTTAATCGTTTAGCTGTCACTGTTAAGAATTGGCTATGAGCTCAGATGCATTCGCTATGAAATATAAATATATTAGGTGACATTAAAAATGCACATTATTTCAAGTAGCTAAGAAAATGGCAGTTATTCCTAAATTTCTTATCGTATGCATGTATTAAAGAAGTTTGCCGTACAGCTACAATCATTTGTTACAGTCATTTATTTCTAGCAGCTAATATCTCTCGCTGTAGCACCTAAATTTAACAGCGAATAAATTTAGCTTCGGTAGTATCGACATTAGCTGCCCCTATTTCAGTGACACATCTTATCTGTCACAGCTATTTTTTAGCTCTGGAAGCTAGTTCTTTTTTTTGCGTGTAGTTACGTCAACTAAATTTTTTTGATGTCACTACAAATATGCAGTAACAACGGCGATTTTGCTAAAAGAGCAAAATTATTTTTCTCCGTGTACCATTTTGCAAATAACCACGTAGATATTTAGTTATTAATTAAAGAAGATCAGTAAACAATTGTACGTAATGATTCACCAATCTTCTTTAATTAATAACACAAAATTTACGCAATCATTTGTAAAATGGTAGAGGAATTTTTTATTCAATTTGATCTAATCTACACGTACACAGGAAATTTACACATATGTTATCGTCGGACACCTTATATATATAAAGATATGTATATAATTATGTATAATATTTGAAGAAAGAAAATATTTTTCAAGTTTTCGTCAAGCTGATATAATAAGACACCGGATTGTCCGGCGACAAATTGAGAGACAGTTTAATCTGATGAATCGATAACGATAATCGATACGTCTATTATCGTCGCTTACCCACGTATTATTTAAGTCCGAAAGGAACGTAAACAAAACGTTCGGCAGATTTCGGCTTATTTCGCGTGCGAAGAGTATCAAAGTTGAATAACGAGTTTTCGTGTAGTCGAAATGACCTGGAATAATCGTCATCCCTACGATCGACACTCGATAAATCTCCCCAAATTTGGCCTCCGCCTTATCTTAATGGAAATAAAAAACAAATTGCGACTCTCGGCGGCCGTAAGAATTGCTTGATATCGTTTATTTATCGGTCTCCTCAGCATGTCGCGCGCGAGAACGTCGCAAGAATTATTCTGAGAAAATGATCGTCGCAGAGTTGATGCGCCTCTTTGCCGGGAGGAACGAATTGGAAAAACTTAGAATAACCGGGGGGTACGCAAAGTTGACAACGATGCTGCAAGGTCGTCGATAAATATGTGCCGCAAACGCCACTTGCGGCCAAGATTATTTTTTCAGCCGACAATACGCAGCGCCTGTCTTGTAGCGAAAGAGCTCAGTCGATTATAGAGCTGATGTAATCGTCTTTCGATACATGAAATGCAATTTCTCGAAGGCTCTCCGCGATCGAAGGCGCTTAATAATTCGTGTGAAGCACACCAAGCACGGAGTACAGCTTCGAATGTCACGTAGGGAAAGTGGTAGGTGAACGATTCGAAAGAGCTTTAATGAAAACCAGACGGGGTCCTTTGGCGTACGTAGATTGTTTACTCATCGCTCGCGCGCGAATGTCGTATTGTCCAATGGACGGGTGTCAAGTCGAGATTATTCACTCAGAGATAATTTTTACGCGCACACCGATTGCATACAACAAGCCGGAAACGAGCCAGCTTTAAAATCGGCGCCGTGATCTACGAATAGTATATTCGGATAAAAATATCTTGGAAAATACCGCACTATGTTGAGCAAAGCTTATGTAGCGAGTGGATGATCTGTATTTCTCGGTATCTCGGTCGTTCGTGTCGGAAAATTGCGCGGGTGTCATTTCCGATGTATACGCGCGAGTTCGTACGAGTAAAACGTCAGCGAGGAAATAAACGAGCGTTGAGAAACTCCGCAATCTGTATTTCATATATTATGTATATTTTTTTATTTATATCCTTTAGATAGTTTATCACATTGTGTGATTATGAGCCTTGAAAAGCCAATCAAGCGATAATTTATCCGGTTTATCGACTGACTTCTTTGTCGCCGAAAATATCGTTTTCTTTCTTACAGCCATATTCTCATAATGATTAATATCGATATCGATTTGTTATCAGTGAGACACACCTTTTAATCGCCTCGGATAAATCGCGCCTCGGATATTCTCCGCTTTCTCATCGCTAGAAACAACGCTGTCTTTAATCACGACACGCGGATTTCATGTGTTCTCTCTTTCGCGTAGGTTGCTGCAATAACATATAACAAGTCGGTTCAGTAACATGTAATAAACATAGTAGAAGCGCTGTGATATTACTCTTAATTATATCTTTATCCTGAAGATACGGCGTATCATGATTGTTGCAATGACACACGATAACGATGTTATCATACTAATAACTAATGTTAACTTCGTAAACATCTACGCAGCAAAACACAATTTTGTCGTGTTTACATGCAATATTTACGTACATAAAATAACAACAGCTTACTCATCACAATAATCGCCTTTTTGTCGCCGGTTAGTCAAAGATGAAAAGTTTGCGGCACTATATTTCGATGAATTTCGAAATTGAAGAAAATCGCGCGAATGTCCTCTTGAAATACAGAACGCGTCGAAGGGAAACGCGTCGCCAACAAACTCCTCGCCGCCGACTGCATATGCGTTTTATATAATCATTCGATTAATTCAATAAAAAATGAAGTGAAATGAAATTAATTAGTTGAAAAACGATGCTGTCTCGCTTCATTTTCTGATTGTAGATCATAGAAGCTTTTTATCCGAATTCTTCTGTGTGTATAATTATCCAATTAATTAAATTAACTTAATTTTTTTTTACAGGGTATCCTGGGATTTTACAAAGGTATCGTGGCGTCCTACGTAGGCATAAGCGAGACTGTGATACACTTTGTGATATACGAGGCAGTGAAGTCGTGGCTGGCCACACACGGGTCGCGAGCCACGAGGTCGGACGACCGGAAAACCTTCCGGGATTTCATCGAATTCATGGGAGCCGGATCGTTCTCGAAAACGATAGCGTCTATCATCGCGTATCCTCACGGTAAGAGCTTTCATTATCAATAAACTTTGTCCAGGGGCGAAGGAGGATCACGCGTAGGATTTACGGGACGCGCATGGCTGGAACGAATCCTCCAGACGTTCTTTTTTTTTCCAATCGAAACCGCAATTCACGCCGAAAGAGATATAGCTCTGTTATTTATTTTTCTACGCGTTCTAGCGCGCGTATTTTTCTCCCTGGCATTGACGAAGAAGATTCCCCGAGTCGGTCTAAAGATAGCGAGATATCTGCAACGCGTGCCAGCCACACTCGACGTGCAATTACGCGCTTACATCCTACCTACAAATAGTCAGTCGCGACGTTCCGGTTACCTGAATAAATAACGCTCGTCCAACTGATTGTACCTCGTCCTTGTCCTGGACACGAGAGACTTTGCAAAACTACTATTATCGAAGTCGGCACGCGCGGAATGTGTTAAATTACGCCGGAAGGAAGCTGAACGACTCTTATTCAGAAAATGCCAGTCCGCATTTCTGCCGTAACTTTAAACTATTCGTCGGTCACGTTGCGAACAAAATCTAGGAGCCATAAACGTATCAGTCAAGCGTGTTTCAGACCACTTTAATAGTACTCCATTCAGTAGTATGAATCTTCAGATGAGTTACAGAACGTGTGAACAATACCGATCTCCACGCTAACGTCTTGTCGTTCTTTTTCAGAAGTCGCAAGAACCCGATTGCGGGAGGAGGGCAGTAAATACCGCACCTTCTGGCAGACCCTGAGCACTGTGTCCGCGGAGGAGGGCGTGAGGGGTCTGTATCGTGGTCTCGGCACCCAGCTGATTCGCCAGATCCCAAACACTGCGATCATAATGGCGACCTACGAGGCGGTGGTGTATGTGTTGACCCGGCACTTTCGCCCGGTAACGGTATCGTGTAGTGCCGGCGCTACCACGACGCAGTTCTACGGCGAGACTAAAACGAAGAGGGAACTGGCCTAGGACCTGCTCACGGCCCCCGAGTAATGGGCCCCGCCGTTCCCCTTCTGCGTTAGGCGAATATCGCACGCTTGGGGCATCGTCTAACACACGTCTGAGTAAGATCAGTCACACGTCTAATTAGACGCATCGAGAGAGATAAAGCGAATGACAAAGAGAAGGAGAGGGAAGGGGGCATGAGAGTGAGATGCAGGAAGAGCTGGATGCCGGGGAAACGCGCTTGTGGTATCCTGACCGTTGCTCCGGGGCTAGTCAGAAAGGTGCTGTGCGCCAAAGGTGTTGATTGCGCACTGTGCTTTAAAAGTGTAGCAAAAAGTAGTCGTCCTTCCTCCTTTCAGGTAACGTATATAAGAAAGAGAAAGATAGAGGGTGGGAAAAAGAGTGAGAGAGAGAAAAGAAAAAGAAAGAGTTATGAGGAAAGAGGCGTTTGATTAATATTGAATAAACAGGCAGACCTGAGAGACCTGAAACTTCGCTTCTCACGAAAACGTGAATACTCACGTGCACACGTGAGAGCCGGGAAGAAAAGAGAGCTTGTGTTATTACGTAAAAAGCTTATTCAAAGCAAAAATGTCCCTCGCTCCGGAAACGAGACTCGTTGTGTCGAGAGTGCCGTTGCACAAGATTTGCTGTAAAATATGTAATAGTCACCGTAAACTTCGGCTTCTCGGCGAGTCTGGCTTCCGATGTTCCCATTTCACGATTTGCGGCTTCTCGCTGTGCACCCCGTGTGTTGTCTTTCTCCCCAGTTTTTCTTTATAAGAGACGTCGAAAACAAGGGAAAGCAAAACTTTTGCGCAATCGATTTGTGGAATGAGTACTATTCATTATTACAGTGCTTTCTAGAGTAACAAGTATAATGAAAGGTGATTTCGTTTGGATTTTTCGGAAGCAACATTCAGAATTTGTGGGTCGTTTCGAATCTAATTGCTATGGTTTTCTAGAACGATTTTAACTGGCTCTTGTCGTAAATGGAACATCGTAAATCATCCACTTTTTGAAGGCTTCGACACTTCCCTAATTGCTATAGATTTTAGTGAAAGTCGTTATTTGCGTGTCACAGAATCGTCTAGGTTCCGATATCGAGTCTCACGAGGATTTCATTTTCTATTTTATTTCATCTTGAAGCAATATGGATATTAGAATTTTAAATTTTCAATAGTACACGCGTACAATGTTACCAGATATGATACATACATTTGAAACGTCAACGCATTTTTCAACGTATATAATATATATTTGTAGTTGAACCGATGATAAATTGGAAAATTTTATGATAAATATTTTAAATGTAGTCATGATAGGTGTATAGATGTGTATCATGACAGACTATGTTTGTGATTCTTTCAATTTGTTTGTTTGTTTTAAGGAGACTGAAGACGATAAGACTTAAGCATTTATCGTTATCCATGCAATATGAATTTATATTTGTTTTACAATGATGCATTGTAAAATAAATATAAGTACATTTTGGGCACCAACAACAGTCTGACTCTTATCGTCGTTAGTTTCCCTACGAGTTTAATCTAGAATCTTATAACAGTTTAATTTGTTTGTGTCTGTTACATTGACACATTTTGTTTGATCGAGTTGTGTATATAATATACATTTTATGAAGGTTTGCTATAGGTTAAACTTCAATTCGTTACGGTGATATAGTTCTGTTTGATTCGTATTCTTTACATAATGCGACTCCGCTATATTTTTTCTTACATACTTTAACGATCAGCCGGAGTAAATTTTCCATTTTTGCAGTTCCGATTTTGTAGCATGATCCGTCGAAATGTCATTAATATAACGCAATAAATAGTCCTTGTCAGGCTGTTGTACATTTTGATGCAACTTGCTCTTAGACGAAGTCTCAAAAAGAAAAAAAGTACGAAGACATTATACTTAATATGTAAATTATACAAATTGCACATATAGACGGAAAAACAGCGATCTCTACGTTAGAATATCCACCCAAGGACTATAGCGGGGATTAAACAGTCTGATAGTTTCGACTTTATTTATATAGAAAGATATGCGTGTGTACATATCGAACTGTAGACTCTAGCTGTAAATCTACGAGCGTTTGTACATGTTCCATTAGTTAGCTGTACGCAAACTGTATCGCATAGTACTATCTTCGAGAGGAACGAAAGAAATATTACGAAAACGCGAGAACATCGTCGTTATACTTACGTTTCTTACAGATCTGTCATTGGGACATACGAGATACCTTATACTTTGATCACAATTCGTCTCGTACGATACCACACACGTGGCTGGAAAAGCAAGAATGTTGATTTAAAGATTCTTATAGGGATTATCACCCGAAAAAAAAAACGTCAAGCTTTTCATTCTTTTTCGCGCGGGTATTGCATGATCATAAGAAAAATTTCTCTCGGTTTATCTAAATTCTATTTTCATCTTTAGTTCTCTCTTTTAATTTTTTTTTCATTTTATTTTATTTCGCAGTTGAGAAAAACACAATAAAACAATGCTTTCTTAAAAACAATTAACGACACAATCATATTTATAAATACGTGCCACTTTCTCTTGCTCGTACATTCTTCCAAGATGGTTTTATTAAGTGACAGTTATTTCGTATTTGTTCTTACGTTGATGTAACATCTTCAAACGTCGATCGTACATATTTCTATTTGGTCAGTCGATTTCTTTCAATTTGCTTAACCAGGTCTTGCATATACCTCAACACTGTAACTAGAGTTACTTGTACGATTGTCGACCTTACACATAGGTGCATGAAGATTATTGGAAACCTTAGTAAATAAGTGTTAAGGCTTATATGACGCCTGGGTTTCGATCGAGAAATCGTCATAAATTGCTCTAATTAATACATCAGCAGGAATTTCATTGGTTATTTAGAAAGAATTTTTCTTTGTACTGTATGTAATGGAGCTGTGATTGTATTATTTTCCTTCTATGAAGTGGAGCTCTTGGTGCTTAGCCAAAGATTTGCAATGCGACTGGCCTTACGACGTTTATATAGGGATATCACGGAAGTCGTACAAGTTAGAGTTCGAAATACTAAGTGCACTAGGCTTAACATTATAACTAAAATTACTTGTACGATTTTCAATTTCACGTGTATATACGTAAAGTTAAAAATCGTATGGAATTTTAGTAAGTAAGCGTAAGACATGTATAACGCCTGGTGTACATTCAGTACTACAACCGCTCAGTGATCAACCACTCTTAGATCTGGTTGGTATATACTTTCAGATTTGATTCTGATTTAAAAGTACAAACTGTAATCAGATCCAAAAGTTTAATAAGTAGTGATGTACAGGATGGTCCCTATAAGTAATTGTTAGTAAGATCAATATATAAATTGATTTTCTTTCAAAATCAACTGGCGTTTGAAAAAAGTATGCAACTTCTGGAACAGCGTGTATAATTGATATATTAACTGTTAACCATCTTGTTGAGATTTTATCACAAGGCCATTATCACTTGTAAATGTACGTGCGAGGGATACGGTTTCTAAGTGCCAGGCTGTTGTTATTATAGTCATGCATAGTTATACCATAGAAATATCCTACATATTTTAAAGAATCACAAAAAAGTCTGGGAACCAGATGCCAAGTTGTAAATCGTGTACAGATATTAAATAGAGAGAGAGAGAGAGAGAGAGAGAGAGAGAGAGAGAGAGAAAGAAAAAGGAGGCGTGAGAAAGAGAAAGAGAGAAAGTCGTTATGAAATAAGCGATAATTTTTTTTACAAAGTCGAAAATAAGAAGTGGCAAAGAAAGAAAAGAGAGCGAAAATAAAAGAAAAAGGAAGAGAATATTTCGTGTATCTACGAGAAGCGAGCGTTTCGTTAAAGAAGACTGATGTTGTACAATTACTTAGCGTACCCTGAGAAAATTAATGCGTATACAATTATGTAAATATATATTACGGTGATAGTAATTAATCGATGTTTTCGTAAATTCATCGGCGATTTAGTAGGATCGAGCTATGATTGTAACAAATGTTTGAAATTGGAACACTTATTAATGTTTTGTACATTGAAGCATTTATCTTGCACGCTTAATTTCTTAAAATTATCGGTAGTTTGTTGAAATAACTGTGCGAAGAATAATTTAAAATTCTTAACTTGATATGATTCTACCGAAATTGTGGTGCAATAATTCCATAGAATTGTTTTCATAGAATCGAAATTTTCATAAAATCATTGTATTAAGTACTCTCACCGCAATACGTACAATCTTGCGATACCCTGTAAAACAGCTGTAATGTATGGATAAAAATAAAATTTATGTGTATATTAAACATATCTATTTTTAAGTTAGCTCGTGAGCTCCTTCAAAAGTGGCGTGATCATAAACACCATGGTTGACCAACTCGCTAAGGTTCGTTTTTGCAATAATGTCTCAATCAATTTACGGAGTCCATAAAAAGTGTTCACTCTTCACACACAAGTGTTCACTATTCTCATGCTGTGAATCGGCCACAGCTGACAATAATGATGTCAAAAGTTATGTTAACTTAATATTTTAGAGGGAGACATTATTTTCACTGATATTACGTATCTAATTATATATTTTATTTATTACACTTTTATATATGTGCGATGTTCAATATTATATGTCTAATTTCTTAACGAGCATTACGAAAATCGCAAAATTTATGTTGTAGAAAACTGTTCGTAGTTTTGAAAAGAAACTTTCGATTGGTCGATAAATATCGTTCGACCTCAGTGATAGCGTCAACCTATCGAGAGCGAGGTCGATCGCATCGAAGAAAATGGCGGCGCGTAGAGGCACGTAGCGAGCGGCTGATTATTGTGTTGCAGGGTAGCCTACAGTACCCTGCCTATGAGGAACATGGAAGTCGTGAACGATGACGAGATGGTGAATAATTTGTTACACGAGGAGCGACTTGTGGGCAACGAGTGCCGCATCTGTCTGAAATCCTGCACGGAGGCGTGCCAACTCTTCCGGAATAACGCCGGAATACCAGAGAAGTTGATGGCCATCGCTGCTGTACAGGTTAGTTGTCGCATGACACTTTGAATTTCAAATCACCGTTTCGCGCTTCATGCTAAAAGTACGAAAATTCACTTGATATATGTATACCGAAAAATTCTCTCCTTCGCATCCCTTTTCGTCGTACCTGTTCAACGAGTTTGAAGAATATCGGACTGCGTACAAATATTGCATCGTTTTTGTGTTGGTTACAATTCTTGTCATATCACACAGAATGTGGAGAGGTACTGCTGATTTTTATGTTGTTTATTCCGTTGGAAAATTAACGAAGTCCTTGGTTCACGTCCAAAAGAATTCGAACAGACGATTTATTTGATCATACTCGCGAATCTTAAATTTTCAATTACTCTTTAGAAAGTGTTGAATCCAGACATCAAGATAAGTTCTAAAATATCTTTTTCTTTTTTCCTCAAGTGTAATCTTTTAGGAATAATACATAGTGTAATACAGCAAAAAAAACTCAGGAAGTTGCTGATAATTGACACCATGATTGGAATTACTGAAAATATCTTGGAATACGTATCTTGGAATTGTATACAATTACTTAACAGAAAATGATACTACACTTTACGAGTTCAGAAGGAATGTTTGTGGAGTATTTGAGGATAGAAATGAAACTCCTAAGCGAGGAAGAATTCAAAATTGAATAAGAATCTTAAAGAATTAAATGAAAATCATAGAATCAAGATATTGCATTTGTACAAAATAAACTAGATGTGATCATTTCAAGATTGTAAATGAGTATTTTATAGAAATATAAATGAAATTGATTCATTTGCACTCATTCAATTTGATGGAATGATGTTAGTGGATTTGCTTGTTACTAACTAAAGCGATCATTTGTTAATGGAGAAAATTCCAATTAATTACTACTACATGCACTCCTTAAACAAGAAGAGAGAGAAAGACAGGAAATAAAATGCTCAGTGGAGTCGATTTTATATATGTACAGGGAATGTAATAAGAGCTGCTTGTTATAGAAATTTGTCCACTCATACACTTGCTTTACCTACGAAGTGTGATATTTTTGTAGAATCAAACAGTGCGAACCATAAATGTAAAACCAGGTTTTCATGGATTGTAGGTAGAGGAAGGAGATGGTCTACCAACTACTATTTGTTTATCCTGCAACCGCCTGCTCGACGTGTCCTACGACTTCAAACGCCAAATTCAAGACTCTGATGTGAGACTTCGTCAAATCTTGAAGCCGCAAATTCATTCCGTGCCGCACGACAAACATACAAAGGATGGTGCAACAGTCAAAGATATCATCACTGATATTATATCTGTTACCTCCTGTACAAAAGACGATCACATGGAGCAGGAAATCTACACGACCCACGATATCGTTACGTTCGACAGCACTACCATGCCGCCTGACGTGGGTTTGAACGACGATGAATCTCGCATAAGTCACGAATTCATGCCGAAAACGGACGAGATTGTGGAACAAACTGAGAAAGACACGTCGTATAGCGCGCTCAAAGAGAATATAAATATACATAACACTGAAATTATAGAAGCAACCTTCGAAGAGACGCATGTGAAGGAGATGCACACAAATACACTCGCAGATGACACGAGTCACTTAACCGGTCTGTCGACGGACGACAAATGCATGAAGCAGGAGGAAATGATGTTATCCCAGGAGGACGAGACGTCGAAAAATTTGGTGGACGCGAGCAGGGTAGAGAATCTGCTGAAGATAGAAGTCAAGAACGATATATCGTTGGAGGATCTCAATGACCATGATATAAAAGCACACGCGATACTAGGGACGGATAGTCTGGACACGAAGGGCGAGACGAACGGCAGCGACGACGAGGAAAAGCCGCTGATAAACAGGACAGGCAGACAGAGGTGCTTGCATTGCATCAAGTCGTTCGCGACAAAACTGGCGCTGCAGAGACACATAATCGTGCACAAACATAAGACGAAATTGCGTTACGTCTGTCACATATGCGACAAGCAATTCTCCAATATCGCCAAGCTGAAGAGCCACGTGCGTAACAGTCACGAGGCGCACAAGCTGGACATCGAAGTACCGCAAGAGAATAATCAAGATAAGAGGGCCGGCAAGACGTCGATAAAGGTCACCAGGAGCTGCGCCAACCCGGCGATGGACAACGCGAGGGAGGAAAAGAGAAACTTCAAGTTCACGTGCAAGGTTTGCTCAAAGCAATTTATTTATCAGAAGTCCTTCATATCTCACGCCAAGAGTCACCCCGAGTACAGCGAGGAGACGACGTCGGATGACGCGCTCGATCAGCTCGCGAACAAAGTGAACGAACAGCGAGACAAAGCGCCCGCATTCAGGGAAAACGAATCTGAGGAGGAAGAGGACGATGATGACGACGACGACAACGACAACGAACTGCCGATCGAAAGTTTGCAATGCACGCAGTGCGGCAAGCTATTCGCCACTAAGAGGAATCTGAAGAGACACATTTCGACGCATAGTGGCTTGAAGTTTAACTGCACGACTTGCGGCAAGGGATTTTCAAGGATTGACAAGCTAAAGGATCATGAACAGTCGAAACACAAGGACGAAATATTCGGCAACACGGACGACGAGGATGACGACGAAGAGGACAATGAGAATAAAGTGAACGAGAATTCTGAAAGTCGGAAAAAGGTAAGATCCTTTGGATTTAAATGTAATTTCGTAAGAGGAGATAATGTCTTGATATCTAACGACAATGACTTTTCGAAATTGAAATATTTAACAAAATTTCGACATTCAAAACAATTAAAGGTAATTTCCATGATCCCGAGAAGATATGAGTTCTATTATTTATTAATCAAGGATAAATCTCTCACACATGAATTTTACAGAGATTATTCATCTTCACTACAATTTTATAAGAATAAGAGGTACATTATTTCCTTGAAATCGATTTATTTCTCCAGACGTCACACAAACATCCTCGACAAAACGACTACAAGTTTCGTTCTCGTTGTAGGACCGACATAATAGACCGCACAAATGTGCTCTCTGCCCGAAGGCGTTCGCGCAGGCTCAATCGTTGGCGAACCACATGGAGAGGCACAAGAGAGTGAAGGACACGCAAAAGCGCTTTCTTTGCGAAGTCTGCAGCAAGTGCTTCGCCCAGAGTGGCTCGTTGGTCGCGCACATGCGCACCCACACCGGCGTCAAGCCATACGTGTGCAACGTGTGCAGTCGTGCTTTCACCAAGAGCACGTATCTGCAGCTACATTTGAGGACCCACAGCGGCGAGAAACCGTACATCTGTCAGTATTGTAGCAGGGCATTCGCCCGGGCCAACACGCTGGCGCGACACATCACCATGCACACTGGTGAAGCCAAGTACCAATGTCAGATCTGCACTAAATCTTTCCGCAGGCTGACCTCACTGAACGAGCACACGTATACGCATACCGGCCAACGGCCGTACGCGTGCAAGCTCTGCACTAAGCGCTACAACAATGCTGGATCATTGTACGCACACACAAAAAAGTGCAAGGCGCAGCAGCTATCCGGGACGACTACCACGTACGCGGTATCCACGGATAACACTCAGCAGCAGAATGATGGCCCGATGTCGCAGCTGCTCATCTATTCGCAGAGAAAGCTCGTGGAGGAAACGACGGTTGGCCAAGTCGTGTCCACGCCACAATATATGGTAGCGAATGTACACAATCAGAAGGGAGTGTCCGCCAATGTGATTCAACCGTTCACCGTAGAAGACCCGAATGTGTACAATACGAAACAGTTCAAGAACCCTTTTTACATTTATCCGAATATGTAACGATGTGTCGATGCCGAATACGTAACCACGTTCGATGGTTGCTTGATTTTTCGGCTGCCTTGGATCATCACTACTTGAATTCGTGTTTTCCTTTCGATTCATGTCGCGGCGTCTCGATAGACGCTAAGGATCGAATTGAATCCGTGAACTCTATAACATGCTGGAAAGAGAACATGCGCGGATTCCACGCAATGATCTCGAGGAAGAGAGCAGCGAATGCTCATGCTTTCTCTCTCATATATGTTACCCGAGCTGAGAATGTCAGCCTAAATGAGTAAAGTAAAATTACATATCCGTATTGTATATAGAAACCTGGGAGAACTTCACATATTTGAAAAACACCAAGACAATAGATTATAGCATGTTAGAAGGACAGATAACGCAACACTGTCTCATGTAACAACTATAAGTACGTCTTAGAAATATTTTTTATCCAATAGATCACTTCGGCTGTTTTAACAGTGGTTCTCCTTCCAGTATGTTATATGTTTCGATGAATCGAACGGAGTTTTGGATAATACGAAAGTGGAGAGAAGAAAAAGTAAAGAAAAGTTAAAAAAACAATTCATCAATAAGACTACGGAGCTCAAAAAAATCCTTGATGTTCGGCAGGTCTAAGTTTGGTTCAGCGTATATCAAGGTAAATCGTGCAAATAATCTCCCAACGACGATTGTCGTATATTACGAAATATAGACTGGTCTCGTGAATTCTCTACCGTCGGTATTTGGACGAAATAAATAGTGGTAAAATCAATATAAACGCTTCCTTTCAAGCACGCGAAAAAGATGTGTGCACAATTTAACCGGGATATTGTGATATTTATCTGACGTCTCTTAACACGTGCGCGGTATATCGTGCAGTGTACAGTCCGTAATAATATTACGTTAAAACCAAAAACGTGAATTAATTATATTACCTCACTAATGCAAAACCGAGCCTCGAAATATTTAATTCGCCTTATGTGTTTTTCTCTTCGTAAATAGGAAATTAAGAGGATGTGGAAGTAAAAATATATGAGACGGCGTAAAACCTCGTTCTTAGAAATATAAAAATTAAGAATTATATATTCCAAATTCAATCGAAGGGACTTTCTTCCACAATAGTTCAAATTTATTTATTGATTGAATTACGTTAATAGATATTTTAGATTTTAGAAGAGAGGTCCGCTGAACGAGTGCAGTAATATTTCACAAATAACTCAGGTTACAAAAAAAAAGTTAGACTCTTTTGACACAACAATGTACAAAATGTGATGAAAAGAATGAGACAAGGTTAGAAGAAAAAGTAAAGATACTAGTAGATATTTACACAAGGAATTTGTATAAATGGACGAATCCTGTATATTATTGGATAGGATAACTCTTCCCTTAATTATATATATATATATTTTTTTTTTTTTTTTTTTTTTTTTTTTTTTTTTTAGATTATTATGGGTATCGTCATCGGTTTGCATACACATATACAACGTATCCCTTCAATATTGTATAAGATAATAATTTTCTTTTAGTAATAATTCATTATGAGAGATCGTGATTGATCGCGCTTTATTATTGAAATATTTCGATATATATATAAATCTAAAAGATGTAATATTTGTCAATGTTTATGTTTTGGAAAAATTAATACTAGTGAGATACTTGCATCTTTCTTTTCACAAGCAGTAACCTGAACGTGAGAAAGATGGGGTGAGAGAAATTTGTATAAATTTAACATTAAGCATGTTTTGGTATGAAGACTATAAATTATTGTTTTTTTATATAAGAGTAATAAACGGTCATGAAACGTCCGGAGTGTAAGAAGAATAATTTCAATTAAATCTCCAGACAGCACAAGACCTCCAGGGGATGTTCTCAGGACATAAGAATATTTTCAGAACATCTTCAGATAGAGGTTGTTCTGTGGAAATCTGTGCTGTTTACGTCGTAATTAACATGAAGAGGGGCAACCGGTGAGAAATCAATTTTATATTATGCTTTCGTTGTAATTATGTAGACACATGTAGAGAGCGAAATCGATTTTCGCACGAGTACTCTCAACAACTTATTACTTGTAATGTACAGGGTGTTTCGAAAAAAAAGAAAGATGGAATATAAATATATAAATAATTGTAAATAGTATCCGAGATAAATTATACTACGTCTTTGTAAAGGTAGCAGATGTTCCAAAAGCGCTTATACTTTTATGCACCATGTCGGATATCGATAAGGCTAACATACATACACACAATGCGATATTTTATAATAAAGTTTCTAGAAAAATTATCGTGTCCTGTGCTCTCCTGCCATCCTGCTTGTATTCCTGCCTTCGGTAACATCAATCCACATCGCACTAAACAGGGAAATCTACAGTTTTGCATTTTCGTCTCGTTAATTTTTAAGAAATAAATTAAAATTTAACAGACGGCGGGCAGCCGACGGCGCGAATAATGTGTTGTCAAGTTATGAAGATAATTTTATGAGCCAATTTTTTTTCTAGCGAAAAAATCGCGAAAGAAATTATTATAGGAACAAGCATATTATACAATAAGAGAAAATCATAGTTATTTTTGGGCCTCAACCGTATTTTTTTTCGTCTCATTAATTTTTAAGAAATAAACTAAAATTTAACAGACGGCGGGCAGCCGACGGCGCGGTCATCACCGCGCGTGTGATATTATCACGTCTTGTATATTTCATGTACATTTCATGCATATTTATATTTCATGTATATTTCACGTGTATTTTATGTATATTTTATTTCATCCTGCATTTATCATCGGAATACAAGGATATTCTCAGGAACTCTATTTTTCCATCGCACGTCACTCCAATGAGAAACGTTGGGCGTCTCACGACACGATAAGCTCGATTTATATCATCCGAGTCCTAAATTCCACTTACGGGTCTCCCTCGGAAACCCGTGGAAAAATCGCCAGTTCTCGACGTACAGCCACTAGCATGAAAGAAAAATGATCGCTGTTTTCGGGCGCGGAAATATTAAACTTATTCCTACGGGTCTTCGAAAGGCACTGCAGGGCGCGGAAGGGGATGTCCGAGATCACTAACTAATATTTAATCAACTTTGCAGGAGAATATTATTCTCCGGACAAATCAAGGACATATGTATCAGGCTGTCAAGGGGGAACCAGCATTGTTCGCGCGTGTTGATACCAAAGCGCACGCACATTTGTGTACGCGTCGCTTTCGGGGCACGCAGTGGCGTAGCTCTAGAGACCTCTCCTTGAAATTACGCAATTACGGGACGAGTTATCGATTTTGATCGAATATCATTGGCCCAAATGATCCTTAAGAAATCAGAGAAAGCTGTTTTACGTAATTCTGTCGTACATATGTACGTGCGTTTCTCGCAATTGTACAATTTTCACGAGTAACGCGCAAGAGTTGGTCATTTCTTAGCGGCACCGAGTAGATTTTCGAAGTCGGGAGGAAGGAGTTTGCTGGGCGCAATGCTTCTTACGATTCACGAAACATTACACGTCGTAATTGAGAGCGCGCTTCATTTTACCTCAGTTATTGTTCCAACATTTAATATTTGCGTTTGCCAACGAGGCGACTTTATTTCAGCATCGGCAAAATGTCTCGTGCGTTATACATGGAATTTACCAGAAAGGATACGCCTATGTGGTCTATGTTCGATATGTTTACGTGTACGATATGTGTACGTGTGTATAAGTATGTGTGTGTGTGTGTGTGTCGCCCGGAGATGGCAGCGTGTGACACACGTTCCACGTGCCGGGAACGGTATTCTCTTGGGATAAGATTCAGGGAAGAGGGTGGAACACACCGCGACTGCTCTCATCGTGGCGCTCTCGTGAGAACAAGTGCAAAACAAATGTCGCACCGGAGCCGGTCGACCGATGCGACGCGCTCGTGAAAATTGTTTCTCTAGGTTGGGATAAATCAAATTCCCCTCCCCCTTCTCTCGCCCCTCTTCCTCGCCATCTCTCCCTTGTAGTACCACCGCGAAGAGGATATGAGAAACTCCAATTTGTTTGCAGGGCACCGTCTTACCGGGAAGATGAGATACGCGGCGTCTTCTGGAATTATCGCGATACCTTGCGCGAATCGTTCGACAGATTATTCGATTAGCTCGGCTTCGAGGAGTCCGAAGGATCCGCGCGCGCGCGGTGAGTCTGAATATACTCTCTCAAAGTCGAGAAATTCGAAAGTAACCCGATAAGTAATGTTAGCTGTTGTTTAAGAAGCGCAACGAGTTGTTGCAATTTTCCTTACTTTTTTTCATCGAGTTTTAAAGATCTTGTTTTACGATTCTGCGAAGTAACGATTGAAGAAAAAGTACCAACGCCTGAACACGCACCTAAGTTTGAACATTTTTCTTATTGTAGGTCCTTAAAAATAAATATTTAGACTTCCAACATAAAAAAACATATATATATACATTCTATGTTGAAAACCCAAAATTTGTGTTTAAAAATCAAAACGATAAGAACGTTCTGAATTAGCTACGCGTCCAGATATTGATACTCTTATTTTATATTCGTTATCCAAACAATATAATTGCACGACCGTTTCTGTTGCTAAAAACGAAAAATAACGTAGTTGTCAAGTTTTTATTTAAAAAAAGTAGCTTGTAACATTGACGTTACAAATAATGTTACAAGTAACACGTTATTTCCCAACCCCGCACTTCTCCACGCTATGATCGAATTCGTGACTTCGTCGTTCTTTGTCGTGTCTTATTTTTAATATTTCGTGTTTCACCAATTGAAACTCACGTTCCGACGAGCTGGAATTAAAAGTTAACCGTTATTTCAGTTATTTATAATGTGTGCGACTTGAGCTGTTGAAAGTTTCTCAAGAGAGATGATATTCGATATGCTCGTCGGAAAATACCTCCAACATTCTCTTGTGCTGATTGTAAGAAAAACTCAACTACAAATTCGTGCAATTTGTGCGAAAAGATTGACTTGTCGGAAACATGACGACGATACGACTCTGTCATCATACGCGGCGATTTGTCTCACTGCGAGTCACCGGTGATCCTCGTGGCGCCACTAAAAAGTCAGGTGCCGGTCACCGGTGACCGCCATGGCGGTCGACGTGTTAGTCGCGGACTAACGAAAGCCACCCTCTGTCGCTCGAAAACAACAAAGGCGAAGCGGCAGACGAACGATTATTAACGACTATCATCTAGATGAAATTCGCTCGAAACGATTGATCCCTCTGATACCAACAATATCGACAATACCGTGAGACGACGGCATTAACTATCTCCCTCTGATATTGACTCTTTACGCTCCAAGGGCGTCGTGGCAGCGTGACCCGAAAAATCTTATGAAACTCGGAAATCGCCGCAGCAGCAGTGCCTTTTAGGTTTAAGAGAGATCGAACCATCACCGCCAATTCCAAAACCGACTTGAAATCCGGAAAGCGGCGCTCCTCGAGTTCTCTAGGAGACTTCGCATGGTGCCGCTGCGGCACCCTCGGAGCGCAAAGGGTTAAAACGGCCGGGCCGACCGGTTTCGGGCGTCGACACGCGACGCGAGGGTTAATCCAGCCCGTGCGACGAGCGTCGTCACGCGGCACGGCACGGCACGCCACGCGAGAGCAGGTGTAAACAGGTGCGAAGGTCGCTCCGCCGCGCGACGGGACGCGACACAGCCCTGCAGGCTCCTCGCGCGTCCACTGGAGCAGCCAGGACGCGGCGTATCCTCCGTCGTGCCGGCGTCGTCGTCCGCGCGGGATCGATCGTAAAGCCGCGGGGTGGGATGGCGTGGTCGAAGGGGCGCGTCATCGAATGATAGCACTCATTCGGGCTGATGGCCGTTTGGGGAAGAGAGCAGTCTGGCCTGTTAGCCGACAGGGGTGGCTCTGTGTGCGTGGCTGGGGGTAGCAGCAGCACGGGAGGGTGCAGGTCGGCATCGCCGTGGCGCGAGGGCGGCGTTTCCAACCCCGCCACCCTGTCGGCACGGTCGGTGGCGAATCGGCTTCCGGTGGGCGAACGCCCCACGAAAAGCAACCCCCGTGGGGCCAGACACGGCCACACCCATGTTCTCCTACCCGCGGCACCGTCGGTTATTGAATTAAGCTTATCATTTGATTTTGAGGAGACCCACCAGTCGGTCGTACGGGGCGCTCTTAAGCGGGCCGAAAAACTTCTTCCTATCCACGGTGTAATCGCAATAATTTGATATCGCTGATCCGATTACGCGTCATAAGCCGCTATCGAGGAGCCCTGCCGGCGGCACGGCCCGGTTCCCGTTTCGCTGAAGCGTCGCCGGCGAGAGAGAGCGGCTCGTGCCGCTACTCTACCGCTCGTGGTCTACCCGGGACTTTCCCGTGGTCGAGCGGGCCCAAGAACGCGCGTGTGGCCGCACGGGCCCCGGACAAACGGCCGTACGACCCTCTTCTTCTTCGCCTCTGGACCTCGCGTCGCGTCCGTGTCCCGACGTAACGAGTGTATTGTTGTTTTCTTTTCTTTTCCCGTCGAGAGAAACTTCACCTCCCGCCGGGTCCAGCGCACAGGAACGTATCCTCGTACCCGTCCCGGAACATTACCGATGTGCTGAAGAAACGTGACGCGACGATCCTTCCGAGTGCTATTCACCATCCGGGACTTCTCTCCCTCTCTCTCTCTCTCTCTCTCTCTCTTTCTCTCTCTCTCTTTACTCGACGAGGTCCTCCTGCACCCGGAGTAGTGCGGTTTCGCCGGAAGGTGCCGGAGTGTCGTCGGCGTAGCAACGCCAAGTGGATCCCCCAGCCGCAGCCGAGCCAACGGCGGTGTCATGGACTACTCGTATCTGAACCAGGCCGCGGCAGCGGCGGCCGCCGGTTTCGAAGCGTCCAGCTGCGCACTGGCCGCCGGCGAGATGCAGTGCAGCTACGGCGACCTGAGCTCCTGCTCGCAGATGAGCCAGGCGGCATACCGCTACACCGCGGCACGAGCTGCCGGTTATCCTGGCAATGCCGCCGCCGCCGCCGCCGGTGCCGCCGCTGCTGCCGCGGCCGGCGGCACGCCGCTCACGGCCCATCACACCGCGCACCCCCACGCTCACGCGCATCACGGGGCCCACTCGACCCCGTGCTCCGTCATGGCCGCCAGGTCCCAGGAAGTCCACCGGCACGCCGCCTCCATCTTCCCCTCGGCCATTAATCTTCAGAGTGAGTGTCCACGCTCGATCGCACGTTAGCCACGCGACTTCCTCGATCACACAACGATAGCGCGTTGGTCGTCCGAGGAGTCTTTCCTTTTCTTTTCATTGACGCGCGACTCGTATTCTCGCGATCGCTGCATAATTTGTTTGTCGATTTGTTTGTGTCCGTCGATCATTTCGTCCCGGCGAAGTCGGCCGAGACCGCCGCTCGAGTGCCTCGAGTCGAATGTCCGAGAGAGAACGTGCTCTTGGTGCTCGCGGATTTTTGTAATTCTGTGGCTGTGTGG